AGGGTGACCTTGAGAGGCCAGGACTTATTGACGGACGCTAGCTCTTGTGCTTACGAGTAATTTGATGCTTACAGTTTGCAAATCGGTCGGTAATTTTTGGGTAATATCGAGTTCCCCGTCCTTTGACCAAGCTTTTGACCTCGAAGGCCACATGATATTGCAAAATAAAGGTCATTTTCAATGTTCTCGTGCCGTAATTCACCTTGAGGCCTCTTTTTTTTTAGAGAAACTGGAACTCGTCGCCGAATAAATCGCTCAATGAATCGCCAACTTAACGGACATCACAAATTTAACGTATGTGAAACGCACATTTGCATATACAAGCACTAGCGTGTACGAACCGTTGTTGCGAACACCTGCACTTGCAAACATTTGCATGCGGGTGTTTCCGCGGGAACATTTACCTTTCGGACATATGTCATATAAGTATCATAGCTTCATTACGACCACAGCTCTGTGTGCGATCGTGGCAATAAGAGTTACGACATCCCTGGTGCATGGGCCTTAAACCCAGATATTGATGCCGAAGCATACGAAAACAAGTACGCTGCCAGCAGGTATACTCAAGTAATCAGCACCGTTTGCATTGCCAAAGTATCACTTATGGTGTTGGCGATGAGCAAATGCTTCTATGGTGTGGCAATGCATGGAGTGTGTTGAATGGTTGGTGCAATAACGGTGATCGCGAGCACTTTGCAAAAGGTGCCCGGCTGACTGGAACATACATTTGGGAAGGTGCTGTTGTTGATCGAAACTTCCTGGAGTTTGATACTCCTTGGTACGTGCCGGAGGCCAAATATGAGTCGGCACAATCACAATGCGCCGTTAATGCCGGTGTAAATTCCGCCGACGCGGAGTGACGTCGCACTATTACGTCGCCTATCACGTTGCTCGTTTCGTCGGCTCGCCGGAAACATGGCAGCAAAGCTTCCACGTGACGTCACACAAACGCCGGTGCCGGTCGTGCAAAATCTTTGGATCATGCTCGGTCGGTCTGACAGGGCTGTAGTCTGTCAGTTTCTAACACTTACGCGAGCATGTGAAGAGAACGACCGTACGGCACCTTTTAAATTGGAAACACCTGATATGAGTCGGCCTATACATATTTGTTCTTGATCTGTGATAAGTCATCGATTTGAAATATCCAGTGTGAGCAGATGCAATGACATGATGCGTTTTTTCAAAGCCATCATGCAAGGATGGTTCTGCTGCAGGCAATTGCTAATCGACCGGCATAAATGATGGATGTTGCTGATGCTATACATTGTATACGTGGTCCGATGATAACTGAACGTACAATGCAATGATAACTGAACGCCTACGAATTGCCTTCCTTCACCACGCTGACTGAAGAAGAACTGAGCCACCAGCAAAGTCCCCCCCCCCCCCCAGGCGGGGCAGAATTGTGCCACTGGGTGGTAGGAGCAGATTCTGCCTGTTTGAACCGATTTATTTCGGTCTTTTGTCAAAAACACTTCAACAATGGATTAGTGAGTGCCTTATGATTTATAATTCCTAAATCAAACAAGTGTTGCGTCTGTTGGTGGATCCTGAGATGCATCCAGTCCCTCCCCAGGCAAGCCCCCCCTCCCCCCCCCTGAGTCCTTACAGGAGACCCTGATGTGCTTCAATTATTTTAATTCGCATCTCTCCAGCAATTTTATCGATAACTTGAGGCATAGTGACATGGATATTGTCACTCGTGTCACATTCCAGACATGGATAGTATTTAAGAGTTCTCTGGCGGTCCTTAAAATGTTTAACAGGGTGTAAAAACCTTTGAAATTGTAACCGTTTAATCGCTTGGTATCTCCCCTTGTAGAGCATACTAGGGACATCGGTTGCCTGGAATCTCCGATGCACAACTGATAAGGCCAAGGCCGAGACAGTGGGCGAGAAGTAAACAGCTTTGACGTAACCATGGAAACGGGACGCACCGTCGTATGTGTCAATCGATGGCCATGTGGCCAAGGTCCCGTCGTGGGGAGGGGTAACCAGACCAGTAACTGTCGTCGGAGTGGTCCAAGGGAGTGGAACGAGGCTCGCCCGGGAAACAGAACCTATCAGCGAGGTACTGTATTCTGGTGCTTGCTGTGTGCTGTGCTTGTTTCTTTGAATCAAGAATTGTGTCATACTCTCTCCCTGATCGAGTAGGCGTGACGTGGTCTTAGCGTTATTCAGCGTGATTCATGTTACCCCATGCACTGTCCAAATTTTCGTCACATGTCCCAAATATTCAGGATTTGCCTCCGAATTAGGAAGTCCGCCTCTTATGCAGAGGTGTCACTTGCATGCTTTTGGGAACAAAGATAAGTTCGTGCGAGAGTTTTGACGGCACTCGTGGAACGCTAGTTTGTGCAGTTAACTTTCTGGAGGATTCGATGAGTCACAAGTCGTTGGTAAGCTGGCGAAAATAAGCTAAGGCGCCAGGAAGGAATGCAGCTACCACAGAGCAAGTGCATCTTTCAACAACAGAGGCATCTTTAGGTTGAGAAGCACTGATTCAGTTCCAAGTTAGAGTGTTTGGATACGCCGGGGTGCTCTTATGCACACAAAATGCATCCATACATCAGATTGACTCTTGTACGTACGTAAATCGAAATGTCTACTATAATTATTATCTTGTGCTTTCCTCGCAATCTCCCACCTTCCCTATACCCTATCAAATTTCTCCCGGGTCTGACCTTATCTCTTTTTTGCAATGCATGCCTTTTCTCAAGATAAATTGGCTAATACTTGCCTTAGCTTGATAAAATTCGGCCTCTGGAAAGTCATTGGGCCACGCTACACATTTACATTAAAATCGTTAAGGCTGCTCAGTAAAGCATATTTGCCTAAGGTAGCGGGAGACAGGAGGCATTTGTTGTTCCGCTCTTCCCTGATTTCTTTTATCTTAACAAAAAGCGCAGTTTACGGAACACGCTTTAGATAAGCATTTCACCCATTATGGCTCGTGCTAAAAATAGCAATTCCCAAAACCTTTAACCCCACAAAGCAAGTGGAGCAAAATCTAATTCAACATATAATTTCGTTTGGACATGCAGCCATACAGTTTTCCTGGTGCATGCGACTCCTTGACACGGCAATCGCCAGCCGTGCCTGAATCCTCTGGACCAGTTGCCAGTTGTATGGCCTCTGTAACACTAGCCGATTTACCTGCTCCGGTGCTCGGACTCACTGAGGTGTTATTTGCCGAAGAACACACCATTAAATCTGATGTAGTTCGTTGCATATCCACACCATAATTCACAAAGCTCATTGGCAGGATCAGTTCCATCATCATGCGGTGCTCTTGAATGGCCTGGGCTTTTGATGTACGGAATCTTACTTGATGTAACAAATAGCCTGCAATCATACTGGTTCAAGTAATGATGGATAAGGTATCGCCTTTTGAGTATAATTAGATATATGTTAAGTAGATTAATTAGCCCATGCTGATGTTATTAAAATATGCCAAAAAACGAAAATAACTATTTCTCATTGCAGCTTCTTTGGGTGCGATAGCGTCATGTAACACCACACATTTTGGCAGTCAAACGAAGATTTATAATTCCTACCTCCGACACCAGAAGATACAAACAGCACTTAATCCAACCAACACAGTTTCTCCTTAGCTTCTGATGTTTATATTTACATATTGTCAGCTTTGTTCTGGAAATTTTGTGCACGGCTTGGAGACGACAAGATCAGAGCTGGAGGTACCGGATAGGTGGTGCCGCAAAGCTGAATGCAGACATTTCCGTACATTTTGTGTTTTTGCAAGCACCTGGCACAAACACTTTTTATTCGGCATGGAATAATTCCAGTGAAAAAAACATGTCCGATTTGAAATTTGACACGCTTTCGGTACACCAAACAAAACTATCTGTCACACCACGGAATCAGCTGAAAAGGATATTTTCTTTGTTTTAAGCCCCAGACACAACTTAATTTTTCTGCTGCAAATTCCCATCGTCGAAGCAAACTGTGTGCTACACGCAATACTGGGTCGGAAAGGACCCAGCCTTTATTTATGATGCGGTGCGCCTCCAGCGCGTCAAACCAAAGCTTATACTTGCCTGGTGTATTGTGTTTCTGGTAAATGTCACGGTTCAAGTTTTTCCGAAACTGTACGACCTGCGAGCCATAACAAATTCTCTGTAGGAATGAAATGAATGAAGCGTGCGAAGTTCAAGAAGAGTGTAAAGGTTTAGGGGACAGTTTTGTAGGGGACTTCTTACTTCCGATCACGAATTGTCTCCCGCAGTGAGGTGTTGCCAATCTCTGCAATTGATCTTGCTAGTGCATCGTGTCTTGTCACTCCATCATACAGGTGATCGTGTGGCCTAACATGAAGACGCCTATGTAACAGTTCAGAGAAATAGAGCATCGTGAGGTACTCGGCACCTCGTTCCTGACCATGAACAAGCTTCTAATGCCCACCACGAGATGGCAGGAGCTGAGCGGCCTGAATACGGACTGACCCGCGGAGCACGACGAGAGCGCATGGCGCGCTATGACAAGGCGATATGCGTCGCAGGGTTGCGTCCCAAGTGCAGATTGGGTTATGTTTGCGTGAGAAATTAGCCAGCACCGCTGCCAAACAAAATTGGCGTTGTAAATTACCTTGGAGCTGTTCACAAACATGCCAGTCTTTCCTAGGCAGCTAATTATACTGGAGCCTGTATTACACGCGGCATGGTCAACTTGGCGATGAAATGTCACGCCAACGTTTTCAGCACGGGACATGAAGCCTCTTGCTTTTGTGTCAGCATAGTACACAATATGACACAAACGGGGCTTTACCCAGCATAAAAAAATGCTACAGTAGGAGACGTTCCCTCTGGGCTTGATTCGAGTTTTGGATGGCGATTTGCCTTACCTTGGCTGCCTGTTGAATTGCCTGGTGCATTGACGGACACCCATATCCATCTTCCCAAGAGACGTGTCCTGAAAAAGACGCTACTTGGGCCGTTTTGCGTCCCCGAGCCTCGACTCTGCACGAGGGTTTCTGCCCACAGACCTGTCGTCGGGTGTGCGTTACATCTTCGGTACGGACGGCACACGGATACGGCGCATCGAAGAGCTGGCGGACGGCGAGAGCTACGTCTGTTCGTCAACTCGTCAGTTCCAGGTCAGCGTGCCAATCAAGTGCAGCGTTACTTCAGCGAACCAATCACCGATTAGACTTCCTGTCAGCGAACGCAGCTTCTCAGCTTTCAGGCATTAGGTTTTTCGTTTTTATCTGTACAAATCTGTTAGATTTTTGCTTTACTATGCGTCAAATCAATAGGCGCAGCGCCGAAAGACTGCTTGCCGCCGGCACCCCTTGCATGCGATACGAACGGCTGCAGCGATAGTGTGGTTGAATGGCTTGCACTTACTGCGAGTTAATGACCGACAATTTAATGACAGCAATATTAATGATAGCCCCCTGGCGTAAATCAAGGTGAACGGTGTAATACGAAGTTTTTGCAGCTAATGGCTATTACAGCTAACGGCTATTACGGCTAACGGTGTAAGTGCGGCTAATGGTGACCCATACAGTACAGATTCGATATCAGGCTGTTTAGCAGGAAGTACCAAGAAGTACAGCTCCCTCGTTGATTCTTTCAATTGCTTTAACGATACTGACACGTGTAGTACGTGTAATGTCTTTGCCTGTGGGTTGTCAGGGTGCATTTGATGATTGTGTAGATAATTCTTTTTCTGAAGCATTGAACTGTAAACGTACCATCAGTCATTATTACGTAAGTTGTTAAGTACATTTGCGAGAGTTATTATTCATATAGGTGGGCAGTAGTAATAGTCTCAATCCTCGGAGGAAAACCAGGAAAATGAAGGCGTAGATGTGTTGACATTTGGGCAACATGCCTTTATCGAAACAATAGCAGAAGCGGTATTATTTGTGCTATGGTAATTGTTGCCTGTGCTTCTGCTATTGCTTATATAAGGGCTTGCTGCCAAAATATCAACGCATTCATATTTCCATTCTCCTGCTTTTTTCTCCAGGACTTAGGCTATTACTACTGATTGTCCTATCATTCACTTCGTGCCACTCTACGAATGCATCAGTTGACGACTCTTAGTGATGTGTTTGCCTCTAGATTGCTTAGATGCATTCGGTCGTTATGTATAAGTTTTAGTTTTATAGTTTTACGCTGTCAACGTCCTATTCCTATTTTGTTCTACTCCTTGAAGACATAAATCGTAATTCGAGTTTTATGGTCATAAACTTTTGCCCTGATTCATCATTTCTCATAACGCAAACTGATAGAAGAGTCTATGCGACCCCTTGTAGTTTCCAAAGTAATAAAGATGAAGCTTAGCAGAAAACGCCGCTGGATTGGAATCATCAAGACTTCGTGATTGGCACTGGTTTTTTATGTCATTTGATCAATAAATGACCCTATCATTCCAAGTTAAGGATATAATATTCGTGAAAATCGCATTTCTTCAGTTTGACGAGATCATACATACGAGGAGATGCGTCGTAGCGATGCAAGATCTATACTGGTGTATTTCTTGTTCAATCCTGAGAGCAATTGTATGTATTTTTCTATATGTTTTGAGCATGTTTTTATTATCTGTGGCTCCGTTAACACAACACTTTCGGCTCGCCGCGCGGGTTCCGCATCGTCGGTTGCCTGCCGTAGATCGCTGTGCAGTGCTCCCAAAGCCGCTGCTGCTCCGAAACCAGGCAAGCTAACCACACTCTGTAGGGTATTAAATTTTTGGCGCGATTGCACAACATGCCGGAGAAGTCACTTAAAAACCTTAGGGAGTGCTCACATCAACCCCACCCACTATCAGGGCGACGGGTCAAGGCGGAATCAAAGTCATCTCAACGTGCTTTAAATTTTCACGTCCACCCTCACTGACATTGCATTCATCGCAAATGCCGTTGTCTTAAATCCCGCTGGGTAACGAAGATGGCACCAGTAGTTCCTTTTCACGGCTCCTGCTATCCATGCAGATTTTTGACCAGCATGGAAGAACCAGGAAAACCAGTAAGATGATGAAGCGATATAGCAAGGTGTAAACCACGCGCAACGGTACAACTGTGGACTTAATGCGAGCTTTATTTTGTATTCCGTTGTAAAACATTCCGCAAGAGCCACTTTTAAATGACGTAAAACAAAATTAAGAATAAAGGATACACCATTTCAAGCCCACGAAACAGGGATCATTTAATGTAACGTGTAAATAAATGGCTGACATAAGTCGTGAATGTATTCGTGGATGTCAGTGACTTGAAAAGAAAAGTCTCACTTCCATAGGACTTTGCAGTGAGGCAGCTGAGCTTGGGTGCACAAGGAGACGTCTTCAACCGAGACTACTGGAACGCTCTAGTTAGTGAGCTTGAATGCAATTAGCTTACCCAAACCAGGACACTGCAGATAGGAATATTATTGTGCGACCGGAAATGCCACTAAAAGTGGCGAGCGGCCTGACCGCCAACATCCGCTACCGATCGGTGATTCGTTGGATGTGACGTCACCTGCCACTGGAAATGGCAGATAGCCTGGCTGCCAATCGCCGCTGCCGACCGGTAATTCATTGGATGTGACGTCACGCCCGGTGTGACGTAACTGGGCCGGTGTTTTACTTCGCAAAAATTTCGCAACTTTCTGCCTCTTTTGACAACAGCAGCAAGCGTGCCTTGGTCTAATTTACTGTCCAAGCTGTGTTTTGTCGGTTTTGCTAGTCCTTGAAAGTGAGTTTTTCCTTTTAACAAGATGCGTTGTGATGGCCTCCAGTTAACTGTTGTAAAGCGCAGCGGGCGCCTCAGCGAGAAGGCCGGGGCTGCGTGCATGGCCGTTGGGGTCGTTGACTGCTGTCTCGTTAAAACCAAGAGCCGCTGCATTTTATATGGTTCATTACATAAGCATTGTCACGCACACACGCCTCAATTTTGCATCTGAGCTGCTTCACGCTGAAATGAGTCGTCGCTGAACAGAATAGAAAAGTGACGCCACGAGATTTTCTTAGAACTTCGAGGATGCCGAAGATCCTTGGTAATAAAGCTATACCTTTTTTGTATATGCTCAGAGCAATCTTCTCAACAGCCAGTGTGACCAGCAAATGTAATCTGCACGTATCATATACAGTTCAAAAATCAGTGGTATGGCCACTGCTGTGATTAAGCATGTTGGCTATATTTTTCGGAATGCCATGATCTATTTGACATATATAAGTATTCGAAGCTCATTTTTTGTGACACGACATCCCACGAATTTGACAACACGAAGGCAAAACATGAGGAGCTGAACAACAATTCTTGCAGTTTTATCAAAACTTCTTCGGCAAAATTACGCACATGTGGCGGCGAAATTTGTCTACGTCACTGCTCACACATTACACACAAATACGGTCCATGCAAACGGACCTTCCTAATGAATTAGCCGAGCTTCGAGAACCCCAGGACGTTTAACCCAGCAGTTGTTTGTGGCGAGTGGTCGTTCGCAGGACCGTCTCTGCAGCCACGCGCTGTCCGTGCGCCCGACTTCCCCATAATGAGCGCCGTGTCTTGCCTGACGGCCGCAGTGTCAATAGTTCGTTAGAGAGCGCCGCCATCTGGGACACGAACGCCGGCGGCGGCTCCCCGGCGCCCGGCCCACTCCGGCTGGCCGTGGCGCGCCGCGAGGTCACTCCGTCGGCACTCCGGCTCCGCCGTCCGGGGAGGTCGGGCGATCTCACACGCGGTGGATCTGAGACACCGGCGGTTGCTGCCTCCCTCGCCGAGCTCCTGACGCCGCCCCTGGCCGCGCCGCAGCCCGCAGACGCCTCTAGCAGCCGGCCGACCTCAGTGCGTGGCGCCCGTCGGAACATCGTACGGACATCGGCTCGGTGGTGGCCGCTGCTCGCGGCGAGATCGTATCGCCCGGAGGCAGGTCGAGGTCAGGCGCGGCTGCCGCTCGTTAGTGCGAGCCAATCGCGCCCGACTGATCCTATCTCGCCGCCGCAACCAGTCAACAGAGGGGTAAACAATGCGGCCGCACCGACGGCAGAGGCGCCCGCCGCCGCCGTGCCGGACGGAGCTGTGATGGCCGCCCGCGGCCAGCCGCACGGGCCCTGTCCCCAAACGGTGTACCGCGGGAGATGAACGCCGGTGGCCGCGTCACAGTGCCACGCAGGAGGATCCGCTACTTGCCGCCGGGCCGCGTCAACCGCTTCTTCGACGTCAGCACGTACCGCAACCCGCGGCGCCAAGTGACGCTGCACGCCATCGAGGACCGGCCGCGCCCGAGCCCGCCGCCGACGCTGTCGCCGTCGCCACCGCCGTCGCCGCGGCGCAGCTACAGCCTGCACAAGCACCAGCGGCCGCTGCCCGACATCGGACCGTCGTCCACCAGCTCGCCGTCGTTCCGTGTGCTGGACAGCCTGGAGCTGGTGCGCCAGCGCCGCGTCTGGGACTGGGTGAGCCAGAACGAGCGCTTCCTGCGCCGCTTCGCCGGCACGCCACTGGCGCCGCTGCCGCCGCTCACGAGCTCGTCAGAGTCTCGAGCCCCGACGGCGCGCTCGCCGGCGCCGTCGGAGGCGCGCTGGAGCCGCGCCGCGAGCCGCTCCTCCTCGGTCCAGGCCATCGCCTCGCCGTCGCTGCGCCGACCGCGGCGCCGCTCGCCCCACGCGTGCGGCGACTCGCCTCGGCGGCCCCGCAGCGTCGAGCGGCGCTCGGGCCGGCGCCGCGGCTCACGCGCCAGCTCCGTGCCCACGACCTTCCTGGTGCTGAGCCGGCCGACCGTCTAGCGCCCATGGTGAGCATCACCGTCACGGACTACGACGCGGCGCCGCGCCCGGCCACTTCGCTCGCTGCGCACCGGCACCGGCTGGCGCCGCCCGAGCCGCCGCCACTGACGCCGCCCGACGAGTCGGCCGAGTCGTCCGAGACGCTGTCGCTGGAGACGCCCGAGGCGAGCGCTGCCTGGCGGCAGCTGGACGCGGCGCGCGTGCGCTCTGCCCGCCCCATGTCCGTGTACGCGCGGCTGTACAGCGGGGTGGGACACCGGAACCCGCGCTGCGCCTGCTGCAGGGCCAAGGCCGGACTAGAGCCGTTCCCCCACTACGACGTAAGTCGACGCGGCGCTCGGCCTCTCCGGCGGATCGGCCGGTCGGGTGTCTGTTCTGGCGTTCTCGCTGGCGGATCGGCCGGGCGGGTGTCTGTTCTGGCGTTCTCGCTGGCGGATCGGCCAGGCGGGCATCTGTTCTCCTGGCGTTATTAATGACAGATCGGCCAGTCGGGCACCTGTTCTGGCGTTATCGCTGGCGGATCGGCCGGTCAGGCGTCTGTTCTGGCGTTCTCACTGGCGGATCGGCCAGGCTGGTGTCTGTTCTGACGTTCTCTCTGGCGGATCGGCCGGGCGGGCGTCTGTTTTGGTGTTCTCGCTGATGGATCGGCCGGTCAGGCGTCTGTTCTGGCGTTCTCGCTGACGGATCGGCCGGTCAGGCGTCTGTTCTGGCGTTCTCGGTGGCGGACCGGCCGGGCGGGTGTCTGTCCTCCTAATGTTCTCGCTGGCAAATCGGCCGGTCTTGCGTCTGTTCTTCTGGCGTTCTCGCTGTAAAAGACGTAAAGCATCATGTCCTCGTCGGCACGCCCACGAACGCTGCACAATGCGCATAGCTTTTGCCGAGTTTGGTGCAGTTCTGATGCAACTGCCATGTTCTTTCTGACCTACCGAGAATGGTGCGGATTAGCTTCGGAAGTTTGTGACAACGGTTCCACGACAATGCTTACAGTGACGTCGCTCAGATACTTCTGCGCCTACAGAATCGTCGCGTCCAGCTTTGTGAGCTTCTATAAATGTTTATGCCTCCTGACGAGCGCCGGTTACGCGGCCAGCTAAGGTTGCGTATGCATGTGTTGTATCACTAGTCGTGATACCCATCTGAGTCCGCGGGATGAAATGGCTTCTGCTGCAAAGTGATAATCTGGGAGCGCTTAGTTTGGTTCAGTAATAGCAAATTGATCTGACTCGGTAAGTATTCGCATTTGTAGCTTTGCGTGTACCGTTGGACACTCTCCAGCGAAATGGCTGCCTAATCTGAGAGTGACGCAGTCGCGGGAGTAGTGCAATCAATGCAATATCTCAAAAGCACCACATCACCGGACGGTTAACTTTAAGGCAAGCAAGGGCGAACACCAACAGGTAGAAGTCCAACATTAGTTTCAGATTGGCTTTTAGTGTTCACTCAGCGGCAGTTTGGATATAACAGTTACGAAACAGCTCACCACCCCTAATGCACCGTTGCCTGATCAGCTGATCGATCGGCGGGTCACGTGACCGAGGTGGAGCACTACGGACGGCTACCGGGCTCGGGCATTCCCAGCTACGGACGCGTCCGATGCTGAGTGTCCGAGACCCTACACGACGCAATTCAAGGATGGGCAAGCGCAAACTGACTACCAGATGTTTCGAGACGATGCTGATGCTCATCAGCGCCGGTCCTTGCTCTATGACGTCATATATGCGCCGTCTCGATGCTCGCTTGATAACGTTTAATCAGCACCTGCTAGCATACTGAAGGTTCATTATTTACAAGTGCACACATAAGCCAAAAAACGGCTACATATATGTGTTGCTTGAATACAAAAATGAATCTATGTGTATGATGTGTGTTCTGCTACGCGTCTGTTACGAAATGACACGGAGCAGACCGTCGCAGCCTGGAAATGATTCAGTTTTCAGCAAGCCCGAGGCGCATGTTCAAAGCCCTCCACAGATGTCGTGGATGACGCCATATTAGCTGAAGCCTTCGCTATTTAACGGCATGAATCGTACACCGACATCATCGCGAGGTGCAGAAAAAAAATAAAAAGACGGAATGCCGCTACGTCGCTCGCGGTGAATCACGTTAGATGATGTGAAACCTACGGGACGAGTTTGTTCGCACGGCCCCGCGCGCAGTTAGCCGATCCGGGCCAGTGCTTCATAAACTGTCCTCTCGCCTCGCCGATTCAGAAAATAAAGGCTTTAGGCGACTATTATCATAGGCTCTTTTGTTATCAGTTGCCAAGGAAGAAAGTTTCCCGGTTATCAAATCGCATTTCTTTGTAGTAATTTAGTTGCCTGCCAACCACAAGATTTCGTGTAATTATGCTGTATCTATTGTGTAATCACTCCCCAGCTTATCGAATAAATAGACATCTCGAGAAAATGCAAACATTTCTCAGGTATCCTAAAACTTGTTTTCGATTTCTTTGAATGGGTCATTGCAGTGCATCATGAGTGCTGAATTCACAATTTTTGTCTGGTTCTGCTCACTGACGCGCGGTGGGAAGACACGTGCCGCCCGTTGCCGTCTGAGGCCAATGCCCGCCCGCTTGCCAGCTGACAGTCGGCAGCATTCCGCCCGCGGCAGTGCGCCCTGCCTGCAGCTCTCCCTCTGGTGTTGCAGAAGGCGCCGTACGGCATGAAGAGCCTGGACAGCCGGACCCAGCCGGAGACGCATGACCTGAGCGCGCGCCGGGAGAAGCCGAAGCGGCACCGCGTCAAGCCGCTCTCGCCGGTCGTCAAGCGCGTGTTCGGCAAGGGCAGCGGCGGCTCCGGCAAGAGCGGCGGCCGCCGCTCCGGCGACGGCTGCAAGATCAAGATCATCAACAACCTGGACAAGTCGATCCAGGTGAGAGCTAAGGCACGGCACGGGTGAGACGAGTGCGTCCTCGCGCAGGCGGGAGCGCTGACTGCCTGATGCGAGAGTCATAGACTGATGACACAAAGCTACTCACTGACTACGCCTCCCAACACAGACTATCAACACGTCGTGCACGCAGTTCAAAGGTATTCACCAGCGCGAAGTATTTTCGCCTCGACGCCGATCGCCGGCCAGGGTGACGCAGCGCTACAGAGCGTGGGCGCCACATGCCCTTCCGTGCCCGGCCCCGCTCTGCCACCCTTTCCACGCGATGGTGACGCGCCACCCCTCCGCTGGCGGGCCGGCGCCAGCCGTCTCTGTGGCGATGACACAAATACGGCACGGCGCCGCCGGCGGGGGCCCGGCCGTCGGTGTCCGTACGGGGCCGATGATAGACGCGCGCTACGGCCGACCCATGACCCGAGGTCAGGGCAGCGGTCAGCTCGCGCCAGCAGGACCGGCTCCTGGGCAAGCCAGCGAGCGGGCGGCTTGAATTGATGCTTGGTTGGCGGCGCTGGTGCAGCCCTGAGCTTTGAGAATATTGGTATCAGCTGGGGGGTTGACGTGCAATTTGACACAAGCAAATCCAAAGTTATTTACAGGCAAAAGGAAACGTTTTACCACGAGGGAGACCGTCCATTTCAGATCATGCTAAGAAGTCGACAATGCCACAACGCGATGTTCCGAATGGCGCGTATTCGGTCTCGTGAGATTTCCACGCGTGAGCCGCCGTTTCAGGCGGTGAGGTCACACCACGAACATGCTACTAACGACCGGCACCTCGTTTGCAGAGCTACGTGCACTTAAACTTGAAAACGACTCAGCGCTTCGAGGACGTGCTCCAGGATCTCGGGCAAGTTGTGAAGTTGAAGGACGCCCGCAGGATGTACACCACCTGGGGTCAAGAGGTAAGAGCCGCTGCTCATGGCTGTAACTTTCACGAAGCCTGTGCACATTCATTTCGCGCGAAATTGTGTCCGCATTCTGTACATAATGGTTAGGTCTGATCATGCCTACACAGCTCAATTGAGCTATAAATGAAGATGCTTCAATTAAGTGAGGTACTTTGGTCGATTATAAGAAGTGCCACACTAATGACTACTCGGACTACTTTAAAACTGCACAGTTCTTGCTCGGTGGAAAGGTTACAAATGCCGCACACATCAGGAAGTTTCGGAGCGGTCCTACGGTCATGGGCAGTCACGGTAAGTGATTACATGGCATCCAAGTCGATTTAACTTTAACGGGCACCAGCTATTGTACGCTTGTCAGCACGTTTGTCGCAACAGTGTCCTCGCACTGGTGCGCATCGTGCTGAACACTGTTTTGAGCAAACAACATCACGGCGCGGAATGCAATTAGCCACACTGTCACTGTATTTGTGCTTATTATAGAGCGGTAAATAGCAAAAACATTGCGGAATGCGTCCTTCGGTTGGAATATTCCCATCACCAACAGAATGTGATGGAAATTGATCTTGTTACAAGACACAGTTGTGTGCCGAGTTAGGCAAACTCCTGGGTGCGTCAGATTTCTCAAAGGAATATCTATGTTCGTCCCATTCGCAGTCAATTGTTTACCACGCTTTAGTCATAAGCGATGCTTTGAAGATAAAGCTACCTAAAGAGGTCAGTGTTGACCGGCACCACTTCAGCGGAGTCACGGCATTAAAGCATGCTCGGTGTTCACGCAAGATCAATGGACGAAAGGGCGTTGTGCTCCACGGCAACAACTGCGCCACGCTAAAACCTTCCTTGCAGTGTATCAACGTCTTCTTATTAAAAGTTCTCTTGAAACCATATTAGGTCTATTCGTTACCGGCCAGGCAGGCTACAAATAAGTAACACCGCGCGTCATTTGTTATGCATTGCCGCGACATGAACCCTGAAATTGTGTTCCATGCTAGAGGTTTCTATCCATATCTCCCGGAGCACAATTTTACGATTTACTATTTGCGCAGTTTATGCTCACCATCAAAACCTCACATTTTGGCTGAAGTCTATCCATTACGATGGATTTTACGGTTCGGACTGCGAGGGAGACCAAATTCGTGGAGTTATCAGGCTGTATCGAAATGTCCAGTACGTAGAGGAAACTATGAACATGCCCAATGGTGCTCACTCAGCGCCCTCAACAGTCTGAATACACTGCACCCGTCACGGCAGGTAAAGAGCTTCTCACAGCTGCGGAACGACTTCTACGAGACCGACACGTTCTACCTGTGCACGGGCGAGCAGACGACAGTGCGGGGCGCGAAGGTGTCGCGAGAGGAGGCGCACCGCGGCGTGGAGGACAAGCGGCTCAACAAGATCCTGCGACGCCACAACAGCGAGCCCCTCCTGCAGGGTGAGAGAGAGAGGGGGGAGGAAGACAGGGAGAGGGAGAGAGGGGGAGAAAAAGCCAGCTGGAGGAAGAGAAGGGGAAAGAAAGACAGGGAAAGGGAGCGAGAGAGGGAAGAAAAAGACAGGGAGAGGGAGAAAGGAAGAGAGAGTGAGGGAGACAGAGAATTGGGGAAAGAAAGTGAAAAGGAGAAAGAGGAAGACAGAGGTCAGTTAACGGAGAAGAGGAGCAGGGCAGACAAAATTGAAGAGAGAAAAAGGATGCGATGTAGAACAAAGTCACATCGTTCAACTTTTGGGGTAGAAGTTTCAGGTGCTCAAAGGCACAATAGTTTTTTCCGAAAAGAAATATTTGGCTTCGTGGGTATTTATGTGGAATGCTCAGCATGCTGTCATTCCTCATAAGACAAATTTTTGACACGCTCTTTCATTACGATGAAGAATTTTGAGCTTAGCGCGGATTCTAGCCGCCAGACAAACATGCGGTAGTGTTATTTGCATTGTGATGGTATGTTAGGAAGATCACTTCACAATGAGCAGCGTCAAGCATCCGACAACTTCACATTTTGATCGCTCCCTATTTTAACAGTGCTGCATAATGAAAGCGTTGTAATTTTGTTGATGTATGCGTGTTTCAGTGAAAGAAAAGAAGCCGCTGACGACGCGAAGCAGGGCTGAATCTGTGAGCGACGTCTCGGCTCCGAAGAGCGCCTCCGAGAAGTCCAAGGTCAAGGTCAGCCTGCTAGGCCGCGTGCGGACCTTCTACAAGCCGTCCAAGGACATGCCCGTGCAGTACCTGCCGCCGGAGAAGCGACTCAAGCTGGACTGGGTGTATCCTCTGATACTGGTCTGCTGGTCGCTGTCAGCTTATTTATAAGTTTGTATTTATAGTTGGTATATTTATAGTTGGTGTTTTGTCAGCACAGTGTTATAGTTGGTATATAGTTAGCATAGTTTTACAATGGACGGCGCTGGTGTAATACGTGAACACTTCGTTGGCCCCTCAATCGCGGGACGCTTTTCAATGTGTCTTTCCTCTTGTGATCCGCGTATCCCGGTCAGGGCCTCAAGAGGCAGAGTGAGCATTCGTCGAGCATTTCCAGCCCTGGGATCGGCAGCGCACGGCTCGTCTTCGGACTTGTGAGACTTGGGTTCGAGCGAATCGATTCACTTAAAGATAAATGATAATTTGACACGGGCATGGACCGCGAGCACGGAATTCAACTCGACCCTAACGACTTAGACTCACCGATTATAGAAGCCTGGTGGTTCGAACAAATGAGCGTCCATATTTAATTGTCTGTAAAGGGCGTGAGGGCCCACACAGCGCATGAGGAAAATGTAGATTCAGTTTGCTACACAGAATAAGGAAAAATCGTCAAACCCATTGGGCTGCGTTGCGTTGAATGACTCAAGCTTCTCGGCGGGTTCCGGCTGCGTTTAAACTTTGCTTAACTTTGTCTACGTCAAGTTAGTTTGCACCTAGGCTATGTTTTTTTTTTTAGTTTGGATTGGATTGGTGTAATCTAGTGTTTATTTTACACACATTTGTATCTAGTTCAAGTGATTAAGTTTGTAATTAATTATTTTTAGTGACGAGGTTACAAAAGATTGTGTCAGCAATTAAAAGTAACTAAAGGTAAAAAAATACTGTCATAACCTCAGTGTCTATCTCAATACTAACTGTTCGAGAATTTAGGTAGGACTATCAGTTAAATCAAAATAATTTTGGGCTGGGTAAGGTGCTAGCTTGTTGCCAGTTATGACATTAACCCTTGACCTCTGCCTCTGGCCGCCTGTTATGAACCATCCTCTTTCCGTGCGACTTCGTCTGAAGTCGACAGGATTCGGACTGAACGCTTTAGGACTCGGCACCGACTCAGACCTGGTCTCAGACCCAGACTCAGGATCCGTATAAAGTGCTGGACTTTAACTCAGACTTTGGCATGGGTCTGGTGTTAACTCGGGACTCTGAACCAGACTCGGTGACCAGCACCCGGACTCAGACTCGGTGACCAGCACCCGGACCCAAACTCAGTCACTAGCACCCGGACCCACGCTCGGTCACCAGCACCTGGACCCAGATTCGGTCACCAGCACTCAGGCCCGGACTCGGTCACCAGCACCCGTACCCAGACTCGGGTTCACGTTATTTACTCACACCCATGTCTGCCCTCAACAACGCCCGAGACAGTTGTGATCGTGTTTACCTCGAGCTATACTAAAGCATTCTTCATCACTACTTCTCTGCAGATCGCTATGCATCGTGGACTCGCCTGTAAAGGTGTTGTGCGAATACCTGGCGTAAAACTCGAAGCATTATGCTATAAAGACGGATTTGATGCTCGTTATTTTCAGCAACGTTCTCTTTCTTCCTTTTTGCCTATGTTTTCCGCCAAACATTACAATCTTGTGAAAAGCGCTTAAGCTTTGAATACTTATGTCAATTTGAGTCCAGTATGCAAACACATTCTTTCAGTTTTAATCACAATGAAGGAAAAGCACCTCCATGAAAGCTCAATGATCATGATGCCAGATGAAGCCTCTGGGCGGTGCTATTGTGTGAAGCGAGCGACATGACTTTGTTTGCACCTGTGCCAACCGTACCGAAGAAAGATCAATGCTAGGGCGCGGGGGGATTCAAAGAAGCCAGAATGCGTCAAAACTAAATGGAGACAAACGGCGGGCGAACTTTACAGCTTAGCACGCCATGGGTCCAAACGGCCAATTACCCCGGAGTTGTTAGTGTAATGGCTTCTTGTCAAGTGACGCGGCTGCTCGGAGAGTACATTTCAAGGGTCAGTTGAAACAGCCAAAAGTGCCGGGTGAATGCCTGCTTGGCCCGAGGGATCGTCACCTTCTGCAGACGTCACCTTCGAGCGGATTGTTCCGACGCATGCGATATCCAGCCGCGTGCAGTCATGGGTCGCAAAGCGAACCCGCTCTAACGTGAGATACGCCCATTTCATAGTCTCCCAACCATTGGACAGCGCTTTTGAAACTTTGCAGTTAAGCCTGATTTGTAATGCAATCATACAAAACTTGGCGTGAGGGTTTGTCCGCACCATAGCTCGGCAATGCCGTTCTCTCCAGCGTCCGAATCTTTACATTGGCGGTTGCCCCCCCCCCCACACGCCCCCCCCCCCACCCCAGCGGCCAGCGCTGGTCGGCCCCTGCCCCTCAGACCCCTCCTGCGTGCATGCGCCACCCAATGCCGCGCCGTTTCCCTGACCGACCGACCAGTCACGGCTACCGCGGCGTGGACGTGTACCGCAACCTGTGGGTGCTGCCTTCGGGCGAGCTGCTCTACTATGTGGCCGCCGTGGCCGTGCTGCTGAACAGGCACACCGACTCCCAGCGGCACTACACCGAGCACTCGGAGGACATCCTGTGGTGAGTTCTGCCGCGTCCCGCGCCGGTCACGCGGCGGACGCCGAGCTATGCCGCGCCCCGCCCCGCGCTGGCCACGCGACCGACGCTGAGCTCTGCCGCGCTCCGCCCCGCCCCGCGCTGGTCACGTGGCCGACGCTGAGCTCTGCCGCGCCCCGCCCCGCCCCGCCCCGCGCTGGTCACGTGGCCGCCGCTGAGCTCTGCCGCGCCCCGCCCCGCCCCGCGCTGGTCACGCGGCGGACGCCGAGCTATGCCGCGCTCCGCCCCGCCCCGCGCTGGTCACGCGGCCGACGCTGAGCTCTGCCGCGCCCCGCCCCGCCCCGCGCTGGTCACGCGACGGACGCCGAGCTATGCCGCGCTCCGCCCCGCCCCGCGCTGGTCACGTGGCCGACGCTGAGCTCTGCCGCGCCCCGCCCCGTCCCGCGCTGGTCACGTGGCCGACGCTGAGCTCTGCCACGCTCCGCCCCGCCCCGCGCTGGCCACGTGGCCGACGCTGAGCTCTGCCGCGCCCCGCCCCGCCCCGCGCTGGTCACGCGGCCGACGCTGAGCTCTGCCGCGCCCCGCCCCGCCCCGCGCTGGCCACGCGACCGACGCTGAGCTCTGCCGCTCCCAGCCCTGCGCTGGTCACGCGGCCGACGCTGAGCTCTGCCGCGCCCCGCCCCGCGCCGGTCACGTGGCTAATGCCGCGAGACAGCGCCAGACGCGACGAGCGGTGTTGGTTCGTGGCCACATTCAAACACTGAGCGAAATTGCTCACGTTTGTGGGTTGTCGTGCGTCGCACTGAGCGGTCCTTCGCGGCTGCTGCCGCTTGTGACCCGGTTGGGATTAGCTGTCACTATTAATTTCGAGCTCAATGTACTTTAAAGCGTTTATGTCCGAATGTTGCACGATGGTAGCAGTGACGGCTGATGACAGCGGTGAAACACGGCACAATGGGCGGCTTCATTTCATGGTTTTGCGGTCGTAAGTCTGACCCTCCGCTCTTCAGACTCGGCATGCCCGCTTGCATTTATTTCAGTCACGTGCTTGCGCTTCTGTCAATAATTCTGCACATTCAAAATGATTGCTGTTTGCCACAGCACATGCAACCCCTTTGACTGCCACAATTCCCGCTAACATGCATGCCCTAACCCCAAACACACTGCTCTTGCATGGGCATCAAAGTGTCCCGAGCCCTCCGAGTGCTGTCCACACTCTCCGTCCACGCTCCCGCCCAACGGCATGGACACGCAACAGTGATCACCCATGATCACTGTTGCCCATGTTCATGATCCGCTCAGCCCAGCTGCCCTCGTGACACGGCACACATCCCATCTCAACGCGGAAAGGTGGCCGAGGGGTAAAGACGCTGGTCCGTAAGAAGACAACCGACTTGTTTCACTCTCACCTCAGCGATAGAATACCCCGTGGAGCAGGCCATGACGCGCGCGTCTCCGTCGGCAGCATGGACCTGCACCCGTCGCGGCACATCGTGGCCTCCGGCCAGCGGGCCGGGCCGGGCTCGCGCGGCGCCTCGGTCCGGGTCTGGGGCGCCGAGCGCCTCGACACGCTGCACGTGTTCGGCAGCCGGGAGCTGCAGGTGGGCGTGGCTGCCGTCAGCTTCTCCAAGATGAACCAGGGCGCCTACCTGCTGGCCGTGGACGCCGGCGATGAGCACCTGCTCACCGTGTGGACCTGGCACAACGAGCAGATCCTCGGCAAGGTGGCGGTACGTACCGCGAGCAGGCTCCGGCAAGGTGGCGGTATGCACCAGCGGGAACTGATGCAGCGTATCCTCGCTAAGACAGTTACATGAGTGATGAGCGCGAGGACGTAGAGTTGTTGAGTTGTTTTCCGTTAATCTTGGTCGTTTATGAGCTTGGTCAGCGCTGCATGTATCATTAACGACATGTGCCCTCAATTCTTGTAAACTGTGTCAATATTTACTTCGAAATAACTCTTATAACGCATCATACATGCCGCTTCGTGCAATACAGGATTTTGCAGCTACCTGCAAGTTCCCTGTCGTCGTGTGCTTGCCAAGATTAGGGCGAGTTTGAAGCACCTGGGTTGCAAATGTGTTCGCTTGCGAATGACCTCGTATTTCGTTATTCGACAGTGCCTCTTTTGAAGCGCCCATGAAAGTTGAAACGGCTCACGTGTTCCGCTCGGTCTGTCCCTGTGCAGACGCACCAGGACCACGTGTACGGCGCCAAGTTCCACCCCATGGACAACAACCTCATCATCACGCACGGGAAGCATCACCTGACGTTCTGGAACAAACGAAGGGACGGTATCTTCGATTCTGTTGACGTCTTTGGAACCGTAAGCTTTCCTGATCAAGAAGCGATTGTGTCATAATGTAGGTGCCACGATGTTCTTATAGAATAAAATAATTTAGCACTTGAAGTAAAAATATGCTTTGAGTAATGATGCACTTGCACTTTACGAAACTAAGCTGAGCAGCGAATTTTCTACAGCCTGTAAGAAAATTCTACCCACGTTGTCAATGCCACTATACCCTAACCCCGACATAATTACCACACATTTCGAAAGCCTAAGCACACCAACTACGTCTTACCTTCTCTTGGATAAGCCGCCTGAGAGGCACTCTACCGACTCGAGTCGGCCGCCTGCAGTGCTATGCGTGACTCGAGTCCGCCGCCTGCATTGCTGTGCGCGACTCGAATGGGCTGCATGCAATGCTGTGCATGACCCTGGTCGGCCACCTGCAGTGTTGAGCGTGACTCGAGTCGGTCATCTCCATTGTTATACGTGACTCGAATCGCCTGCACTGCTGTGCGTAACTCGAGTAGGTAATCTGCAGTGCCGTGCGTGATTCAATTCGTTCACCTGGAGTGCTATAATTGACTCGAGTCGTTCGCCTGCAGTGCTGTATATGACGCAAGTCGGCCGTCTACAGTGCTGTAATTGACTCGAGTCGGCCGCCTGCAGTGCTGTGCGTGACTCGGGGCGGCCGCCTGCAGTGCTGTGCGTGACTCGAGTCGGCCGCCTGCAGTGCTGTGCGTGACTCGGGTCGGCCGCCTGCAGTGCCGTGCGTGACTCGGTCTCTGCGTCTCTGGCAGTCCTCGGCTCGGACGGTGCTGGCGGTGGAGTTCGAGCCCGGCGGGGATCTGATCACCGGCGACTCTGACGGCTTCATCACCACCTGGACCATCGACAACGAGGGCAAATACTACAAACGGGTCGACTTCGAGGCAAGAGCGGCCGAGTGTTCTGTGTCCTTGTGATGGGAGGAGAGGAAGATACTTGAGTCTGATTCCCCGCGTCTGTCCCAGAGGCGGACACGGTGCCAGGCTTTGCGGCAATGATGCTCATCCCAGCTGCATGCCCCCAAGTCTCTTTGTACTAGTACGGCCATAAATATTGTGGCGGCATTATTCCGGATACATAAGTGATCAACTACGCAGTGTAGGGCGGGCCGGTGCAGAATAAAAACGGTATTGCATGAGGTGACGCATGGCAGTGCCAATGTCAACTATAACGCGGTTTTCAACTCACACAACTCGCTTTTATTCAGCCTGGTCGAGCGTCGATGTCGTGTGCTGGGCCGGCCCGCCGCTGACACCAGAGCGAGCGTGACCGTGCCGCGTGCCACAGGCGCATTCCTCGGCGGTGACGTCACTGCTGCTGCTGTCGGAGGTGACGCTGCTGTCGGGCGGCGAGGGCGACCGCAGGATCTGCGCCTGGGACTGCAGCGAGCAGTACACCAAGCGAGCCGAGACCAGGGTAGGTCGGACGCCGTGCCGGCTCGGCGCGCTGTTCTGGTGCGGGTGCGTCTCGCGGCAGTCACCAAGCGAGCCGAGACCAGGGTAGGTCGGACGCTGTGTCGGCTCAGCGCGCTGTTCTGGTGCGGGTTCTGGTGTTCTGGTGCGGGTTCTGGTGTTCTGGTGCGGGTCTGGTGTTTTGGTGCGGGTCCTGGTGTTCTGTGCGTCTCACGGTACGGTGCACGGCGTGAGTCTTTCACCGGGGCTTATTTACAGGTTAGCATTGCCGTAAGTACCATATCGGGCTCAGGCAGGTACCATTACCATCATTGGCTACCGCATCCTTTAACAAAACGTTCCGCCTGGCGCCTTGCTGTCTTCGGCTGAGGCTCCTGCGCCTCGCTCATAAGTCCATTATTCACGGCTTCATGGCTTCACGGAACGGGAAGTGCATGTCGTGCTTGAAGGCAATGTGGTCAGTTACCCTCACAACGTCCCAGCCAAACAGACCTGACGATGGCGGGGCTTCATACAGGCCAGTCAGCTGGCTCGTTACCACCGAGCGGCCAATTCACTGAGTGCTAGTTTTCACATTAAATCCGAAGCTTTTAAGTAGATGAGTTTCCGGGGTTAGAGCTACGCTAAGCAGTGGTTGATGTGAGAGCTGATCCCTACCATCTGATTGTGCCGGGTCAACGGCAGAATTTGGTGGCGGAAGTTTGATGTGTCACAATGCTCGGCACGGCCCGCCCTCCCCTCTGACGTCACCTGACCTTAAGCGCGGCCTCTGCCACCGACTGCAGACCATACCTGTCAAGAACAAATGACCAGTTTCTAATTTGACTTAAATCCATCCCGCCACGGGTGGGTGGATTTGAAGACAGGCGTTCTAACCAACTGAGCTGTCGGGACGGACGGCTGACTTCAGCCAGTTGTCTTCAAGGCTGAGCCAGTCAGGGGTTTCAGGAGATGTGAGGTCTGCCAGACCCACTCGTTGTCCAGTGAAATACAATAGAATACACGCCTACAGTGGCGGAGGCTGTGATTTAGCTGGATGCAAACTAACATGCATGTTATGGTCGGCTTCGATACACACCGAAAATGCTGGACGGCCAGCCAAAGCCACTGAATTTATGCTCGAAGTGTATGGTGCGTAAAATTTGACAAAACGGCTTGGTCCGTGAAAATCGAATCGCGTCGTCACGGAGCACCTGTGCCGTTCCTTATGAAATGGTCTGCAAATCGGCATTTTGCCGTGTATCGAGATATAGATGGTGTTGCACTACACAGACCGAGAACCTTCAAGGAGGAAAAGAACCATTTAACTCGATCTTCGTATTGCCGGTTGCATGCTTCGGCGACAAAAACGCCGTAAAGAAGGGTGGTGTCGTAAAAATGAAGAAGATGCCGTTTTGTCTGTGATTCTCATGCTGAAAAAGTCCTATCTCTTCTCAATGGAGGACGTCCTAGTTTGAGATGGTCGTCGTCGCATGTGTGTAATATCACATGACCTGCACTAAGGACGTCAAACAATATCACGACACGGCGAAGATGGGGCCCTGTTCTTGCCAACCCTCACGTTGCATGATAACGGCCCCCAGCCCTGTGAACTGACATCAGCTGATTCGCTCGTGTCAGCGGCCGCGGCGCCAGGTGACCTCCCGTCACCCAGGCGGCGTCGTAACAGCGTGATCCGCACCGGCTGACCTCGTTTGGCCTAAAACGGCTGGAGTATATCTGACCTAACACGGACCGACGCATACGGCATGTATTGGCACGTGATTATTGTGAGAAGTTCGATTGTTTGCGATTTGTTCGACGATACTGATCCCCGGCCAATAGCAAAGACCCGAAGATACTTTTGTCGAAAATAGGCGCCAAAAGCGAATGCTTAATCCTCGCGCGAACCAGGGGCACCGGGCTTTGCTTATTGCTCTGCTTCGTGTGTGACCAGACGCCAGCCGTACCGAAGCCTTCATTTGCGTGCAGACGGCAGCGCTGACTGGCCGGGTCCACCCGGAGTTCCATGACCTGACCTCGTCTGAACCGCATGACCTGTGTTCCGTCGCTGAACTGACCCCAGTAACCCCGCCCCTGTGACCTGTTTCAGCTGCCTGAGGCGGCTGGTGGCATCAGAACGCTGTGTCCGCAACGAATCAACACCAACGACGGAAACGTGTACGCCGGCACGGTTAAAAACATGATTCTAGAGGGCTCCATCATGCGTCGCTTTAACACGGTGAGTAGCTCGCCTTGGTGTTGCGGTAGAAACGACGAGTGAAAGTTAGCGTAGTGTGCGGTATTTTTCAGTCCAATACATGGTGGTATTATTGCGCGATTGTGCTTCGAAAATGATTAAATAATCGAATAGAAGAACCCTTGCTCGGCTTTCACCAAAATGCTCCGCTTTATTACACCTGATCAAGCGTGAACCATGTACAGGTTGTGCCTTCCCGCGTCTCGTGCGAAACATGGTGGCCTGCGTCAGCTGCATCAGATCCTGTCCCTCTGGCGTTCTGAGCGAAAGGCCCTGGCGTTCTTTCACCTGAAGTTTCACACGAGTGCCGGCCAAATAAGCCTTTCCCCGTGTTTGTCGTCCAGTAGCCGTGGTCTCCTTCACCCGCAGGTGGTGTTCGGACACAGCAAGCACCTGTGGGCGCTGGCGGGCTGCAACGATGACGACTGCTTCATCACCGCCGGCTATGACAAGCTGGTGGTGAAGTGGAACGACCACCACAAGGTCATCTGGAAGTCCCCGGTACGGCCTGACTGTCATGCTTGTCGTGACTGTGAGGGTCCGTCCTGACTGTCGTGAATGTGAATTTCCGTCGTGACTGTGACGGTCTGTCCGGACTGTCACGTCTGTGATGGTCTGTCCTGACTGCCATCACTGTCGTGACTGTGACTGTCTGTCATGACTGTCGTGACTGTGAGGGTCCGTCCTGACTGTCGTGACTGTGACTGCCTGTCATTACTGTCATAACTGTGACGGTCTGTCCTGGCTGTCGTGAATGTGAATTTCCGTCGTGACTGTGGCGGTCCGTCCGGACTGTCATGTCTGTGGTGGTCTGTCTTGACTGCCATTCCTGTCGTGACTGTGATGGTCAGTCCTGATTGTCGGGACTGTGACGGTCTGTCCTGACTGCCGTGACTGTGACTGTCTATCATGACTGTCGTGGCTGTGACGATCTGTCCTGACTGTCATGGCTGTGGCTGTCTGTCATGACTGTCGTGACTGTGATGGTCAGTCCTGATTGTCGGGACTGTGACGGTCTGTCCTGACTGTCGTGACTGTGACGGTCTGTCCTGACTGCCGTGACTGTGACTGTCTATCATGACTGTCGTGGCTGTGACGATCTGTCCTGACTGTCATGGCTGTGGCTGTCTGTCATGACTGTCGTGACTGTGAGGGTCTGTCCTGACTGTCGTGACTGTGAGGGTCCGTCCTGACAGTCGTGACTGTGACTGTCTGTCATGACAGTCGTGGCTGTGACCGTCTGTCCTGACTGCCGTGACTGTGACGGTCCGTCCTGACTACCGTGTCGTGCCGTCCAGCCGGAGGTCGGCTGGCAGGTGACCCGGGCGTCCCGTCAGATTAAGCGTAACGTCCCCAAGTGGCCACCTGATAGGACGGTCACCCCTCTGATTGCGGAGCTTGTCACTGGCTGCGCCTTGTTCTAATCGGAGCAGAGCTGTTGTGCTCTTGAAAGTTAAGGAGGAAGCTTGCCTTCAGTGAAGTTTGTTTGCTAGCCTCATTTGCACAATAACGGTGACCCCTCCACTGGCCTCCACTGCCGCTGACCGTTCGCCCGCTCTTGACTGTTCGTCTGTTCCGTTCGTCGCTGACCTGGGCTGCTGGCTGCACGGCAGATTGGCAGCGAGGCGGTCTCGTGCGCCATCCACCCGCTGGACACGGTGGTGGCCGTCGGCTCCATCGACGGCTACCTCTCCGTCTTCAAGCTGTCGGACGGCTCCCAGATCGGCTCATTCCGCGTGTGCGGCCAGCCGCTCAGCAGCCTCAGCTACAGCCCAGGTGGGGCGCTCGGCTCCGGCCGCGGTGTGGCGTCGATGCGCTGGGACACCCGTGCATGCACTGAGCTACAGCCTCGGCCAGATGCCACGTCACAATCGGGCAGAATCTCGCTGAGACTCGCTTCAGCTCGGACGCCGTCCACAGGCCCGTGTTAGACCTAGTGTTACAGCCGAGGTTGGCCCCGCAGCTGCAGCCTGCCGCTGACCCCGACCCGCATACCCTCAGGCGGTGACATGCTGGCGGTGGGCGCCCAGACGGGCAGCGTTTACCCGTACAAGGTGGGCCGGGACGGCACCGTGTACGTCAAGTTCGGCCCCATGCAGGGCACCCAGCCGCTGACCCAGCTGGACTGGAGCACGGACGGCGAGTGTCTGCAGGCCGTCACTGTCGACCACGAGCTCATACTCTGTGAGTGTCCGGCCGGGAGGACCGCGCCTGGGGGGGACACGCTCCTGCATGCGTCGTGTTGCGAGGCTCCGGTTGCGACGAATGAGCATTGGACAAACGGGAACTCGGGTGCGTGAAAGGGAACTCGGGAGCGTGAGTTGAATACGCTTGGCTCTCGGAATCCGCGACTGAGTGTCCAGTCCTGCGTAGCCTGTAGGTAACAGTTCGTTCATACTGTTACCGCAAACCGGAGGCTAGTAAGAAACCTCTGTCCGGTATTGATCGTAACATTCCAGACGTTCCAGACGTTCACTTGACTGGGTGTCTTGTTGCGTGGACATTAGAGAAGGTTGTCTCTCGGCATTATTTATATACGAAGGAACAATACATGAATGGCTGACTCCCCTGGAATCTTGTCAAACTGCTACCGATCCAGCGAGTTGTGATGATCAAAATTGAACTGGGGCAAATGCGATGAATTGTCCCTTTCAGGGAACAAACGATCGCTGACGAAGGAAAAGTTCCAGTTCAACTTACGGGACAAGAATTGGGCGTCGTATACGTGTACTGTGGGCTATCCGGTTCTAGGTGAGTGCATTTCATGCTTGAGAGTCGGATGTATTGCGGAAATTACTGCATGCTAGCTTCTGTATGCTGTTGTGAATAGCGAATCAACGGTATTTCACCAATGTCCGCTCAATGAGCGAATCAAGCATGAGCACCTCACTCGCATTCGTTTACAGGCAGAGTACTTGGGAGTTGACCTACGCAAATTACCGTAGCGTTACGGACGCGCGACGTACGACGTGACGCCATGATAACCAGTGTGTAGCTGAATACGGCTGACACTTATACGGCTAGTGCTAATCGCGTGGAGTCGTGGAGACATTCAGATCGCTATCAATGACGTGCAAGAATAGGCTGCAATTCTCATTTCGGGGCTTCCATCTCTGATGCAACTCTACATTAGACACATCCTTTAGATTCACGTTTATATACGTGCATATCTGGCATAAGCTAAGTTGTCCATGAACTGGCTTGACCTCGGCCGGGGCGCGGCCGCCGCTCGCAGTAGCTGACGTGCCCTGACCCGGGCTTCCAGGAGCGTGGCCGGACCTGCACTTTGACCGTCAGCAGGGCGTCTGGTCGGACAGCTACGCCGACTCGCGTAAGGCCAAGGTGCTGGTGAGCGCCTGCCGGTCGCGTGACCATGACCTGCTGGCCGTGGGCGACTCGGAAGGCGGCATCCAGCTCTACAGGTGAGGGGCTGGGTCACCTCCGGCCTCTGACGCCGGTTCACCCCTCCCAGCCGACTGGCTGGCTGGCGAGTGCCCGCTATCGCTGATTGGTCGGCAGCGGCGTCGACAAGTGGTGGGTCGGGCGCATTGATGACCGGTCTTAAGCCAGGTCTCAACCTGAACAGTGCTGACCTCCCGGTCGTGATCTTTCTCGGTGCGGGTGCTACTGCTGATCTTTCCCCGGGCACTCGTCCCCCACGTGACCGGGACTGATTCTCGCCAGGTACCCGTGCCCGCTGAACGTCAAGGAGGCGGCGCAGTGCCATAGCTACAAGCCGCAGAGCTCGTACGTGGCCAGCGCTCGGTTCCTGCGCAGCGGCCGTCAGCTGGTCACTGTCGGCGGCACAGACGCTACTCTGCTGCAGTGGAGGGTCCAGTAGCGCTTAGGCGCTCTCCTGCGGTGGAGGAGCCTGCGACGCCGAGGCGCTCTCCTGCGGTGGAGGAGCCTGCGGCGCTGAGGCGCTCTCCTGCGGTGGAGGAGCCAGCGGCGCTCTGGCGCTCTCCCGCGGTGGAGGAGCCTGCGGCGCCCTGGCACTCTCCCGCGGTGGAGGAGCCAGCGGCGCTGGCGCGCTCTCAATCTGTGGAGGAGCCAGAGGAACTGTAGTCCGGTGCGGTGAGGAAGAACGAAATAGAAGAAGACTTGCTTCATCAGGGTTCCGTCAGAAGAAGCGATGCTGAGATCGTATTGTTGCCGTGATAGAAGACCAGCTGACGCTGTGATTGGGTGCCACACCCTTCACTCGTGATTTGGTAAAGGAGGATCGTGTGATTGATTGATTGCGCTGAAGCTGCTGATAGACAACGATAAGAGAGGGTGGCCGCTGAGGAAGGGGATTCGGCCGCCACCACCAAGGGAGATTTCGTGTTGCAAAACAGACATTGAGGCGTGCTGTTAATGTAAGCGGACTGCACCAGCTGCGGGGGGTGCGTTGTAAATATTGTATTTGTGGGCCATGGAAGCCCACACGTGCTGTGCCCTACGCCCGCTGGTAATGAGCTGTACCTCAGCCAGCTGATACCTTTGCGACAACGCGTCAAAATGAGGTGAGCTGCGGAATGTGTCGGACCTCCCAGACGATCGGAGGGAGATGAACAGACTGTCGAATATTGATCTTGTGATGTCTGTAGGAGCCGTAAAGCAGTGGTTTAGTTTGACGGAAGGATTTAGACGAACTAGTATCGTCACGGATGGAAAAGTCATTCAGAGCATCCCTTGGTCCGACGTGTTAGAATGTACGTAACGTTTCGGCCAGCCATTTCTCCGGGGATCGTCAGGTGTTTTGAGTTCTGAGGACTGGCTGCTGGTTGGCTTTCAGCCACATACAGTCGTCAGCCATATCCCGGCCATCGTCACTCAGTACCTGGCAACGGCCCGAACATTAGCTGGCCGAAACGTTGTGAACGCACCAACACACCAGGCGAGGACGATAGTCCGAACGACTATTCCATCCGGTAAAGCGGTGCTTGTGGGTGATACGGGGCTCTCCGCCATCCGACAGCCAGGCGGCAGTCCAAGGAAGACTGCGCAGACCCGGGCTTTCCTGACGCGGTTTTGGATGCGGAACTAGAGGTCTATGCATCATGCTTGCGCGGGCTGACCAGGGACGAGTCAAGCGCGGCTCGAGGTGCTTGGATCACGAGACTTCAGCTACTGAAATCGCGCGAGACGCGCGGCAAACGAGATACTAGTTTTACATGCACCCTCTCGTTTATTTGTGCGGCATCTTAGGGGAGGGAAGGGTGGGGGGGGGGGAGGGGGGTGGCGCACCGCACAGTCTAATCGTACTTCGCACGGAGCAACGGTGCTCAGGAGTCTGGGAACTGGTGCCGGCCGGCCGTTTTCTACCGCTCCCGCGTGCTGCATTTGGCCTCGGGCTCACACCGGGCATTGATACGAAAGCGGATGGGTAAGCTCACATTGCAGTTAGTATTCGCACACACCTAGGAGCTCGAAGCACCCAACCATTGTAATCAAACGGTGCCACCGCACGGTGGGGTGTCAGCGTAGGTCGAAGCTCCCCATAGGTGACGTCAGGAAGGCTCTCTCGGACGCGGTGCCGTCATGACGTCATACCGATGTCATTGCATGCCTCGAAGCTTGCATCCTACGAGTGCCCTTCACTCGCTTACGTGCGTATGTGAAGTGTGCAGCCAGATCAAACACTGTCGCATAAGTTACGAGACAGCTGCGCGAGCGTTTGTCACATGGCGCATTCGATAAAATTGGCCTGCTTACTTCACCATGGCCTCTTAGCAGGCGTGAACTGTTGAGATCTACGTCCCGGAGAATCTCTTCAGTATCTCCCTCGCGCCCCGTGCGGGGAATGCTTCAAAAGCGATCGGTTTACGGTTTAACATCAGCAATCATGCCGCATGGTGATGTGATATGCAATAAACCACGTGGAAATCTGAGGTAGTCCTGGCTTCTGAGTGACTGCTGCATACATGGCACAGGTGGATTTGGACTATTCAGGGGTCTGCTCTCCACTTCACTGCGCTAAACTTGCAGCCCTTTTAAAGTGGCCTGCCAAGCATGATACGGATTTCAAAACTGCTGCCATCCTAGTTACTCTCACAAAAGTCGTGGCGCGCGTCTAATTCGGTATACTTTTACATTTGACAAATATCACATGGGATGACTTGGTAGCTTTCGGCGGTTTCCAGAGCGCAGATGTCTCACGTTGTACTCTTTGACACACAGAGCCTCCGTTCCCAAATCCAGTACTCCAAACACAAAACTAACTGTTCTGAGTATCACTGTACAGAGATTCGTGCTCCAGTGACATAGCACAAAGTAATGCGTGTTAGGTGTTGCATCATGACGCTTGCTGCACTACAAGCATGCCCAACGTACTAAGTTCACCAGTGCTGGCACGTTGCTTCCGACAAGGGGCGCGTCTCGCGTCATCTGACGTCATCACAGCGTCCACGTAGGAGCTGAGAGCCAGGCCATGCTGCGAGAACGCTCGCCATCGGCCGAAGTGAGAACCGTCTGTTCCTGCACCAGCCCTCGCACTAGAGATGGGCCTCGTTCGTAAGACTTATTTCCGGAAACCGGTGATTGGCTGCTGGTTCCGGAACCAAGAAAAAACGAAACAAATCGGTCTGGAAGCAGACCGAGGGAACCAGCAGGAACCAGGTTCCCGTCTCATGCTAAGTTGACAGATCCAGCAAAAACTAAAATCCAGCGAGACAAAACGCCGAAAAATCCAGCAGGAACCAAGATACAGCCCAGGATTAAACTGAGATCCAGCAAGAACCAACATCTAGTCTGTAGTGACGCCAGAGCCAGCAGCAGTCTTGTCAGCCTTGCTTTTCTAGGTTAAGCAGTGCTCCTCAGGGACACAGACTCCAAGTTGTTTGGGAGACTGCGTATGGGAAATGGCTGAGCCTTCTCCCCTGGTCCTCTTAAGAGTTGGGCGGAGCGAGGCCCGCGCCGGTGTGATCAGCACTGCCAGCTGTCCGTGCGCATCCGGAGCTACTCTCAAACGACCACAGCCATGCGAGGGCGCCGGGACGCGGCCGGGGAGGACGCGGCCGAGGAGGACCCAGCGGAGGAGGATCTGGCCGAGGAGGACGTGGCCGAGGAGGATCCTGCCAGGGAGGAACCAGCCGAGGAGGGCACGGCCGGGGAGAGCGCGGCTGAGGACCCGGCCGAAGAGGACCCGGTCGACAAGGACACGGCCGGGGAGGACGCGGCCGAGGACCCGGTCGAGGAGGACGCGGCCGAGGAACAACCCGCCGAGGAACACCCGGCAGAGGACACGCCGAGGGAGACCCAGCCGAGTCTTGCTAGCGTGTAAGCACGGCACACGCACTTAACACACAACACCAGCTCCCGCGTCTGGATTGTGCTAATCTCCACGAGAAAAACGCGCACCAACGAAAAGAGCGCAACGTGAAATTGCTTCGAGTATTGCGAAGTTTGCGTTTCATTCAAACGCCTTTTTACAAGTGGCCTTCGCAACCAGGCCGCGCATGTGGCAAGCGTGACACCAGATACGTAGCTTAGATACCATACGTACGGATATATGTACGTTTATTGCAGACACATCAATCATCGATGCGCGTACAAGCACATAAACAGGATGCGATATTTGCCTAGTGCGCCGATGAAATCCACGTCTTTGTTTGTCAGCAGTCATGTCCTCGTCATGCTAATGTTTAATGGCCTGTGAACAACAGATCATTCACAACAAGCAGGGTGATTGTCCACATCACAACAAATCTTACGACCGAAAAAGACCTACAGAAGGACACGTAATCTTAAAATATCAAGAACAGTTTCTCCCGCGACCTCACACGCCTAACGTTCAGCGATCGGCTCCCACTCCAGACGTCCTCCTCGTAGCACCGAGTGTAAGCCTCGGACAATGTGCCTGTCCAGAACAGCACTCCTGCGCGGTAGGAACGACTCAGCTGGTGCCGCTCTGCGAAGGTGGGAAGTCCAGAGCGGACGCGTGACGCGTGATCCCGTGCTGGCGACAGGCGGTCACATGCACGATATGCGTTGAAAGAGGTAGACAGATATGCACTGGGAGCGAAATGCGAGTATTTCATCGGAAAATGTAAACCCGCAGTGAGGTCATTCCAGCGGAAGTGCGACATCTCTCACAAAGCATGGGTCAAAAGGCGCCTACGCATCACTCGCATGTGCTGATAAATCTCACAATGTTACAGACGCTGCTACATGCACATCACAATGGTTAAGATACAATGCCGGAAAGCTAGATGCATATCAAAGTTAAGATAAAATTCCGGCGACCACATCAGATCAGACAGCGTACCAATCACGTGGCCGTCCGGCGAGCCCCCATGGTCAGCGCCGCCGCGTACATCCGACGGCACCGCGCACGAGCGGCTGCCTCCGGCACAACCAGCCTCAATCACAGGCCCAGTATCAGGGCGACAGGCGAACAACACACGCAGTCACATCAACTATCAGTGCTTGCCACGATGAAGTAGTTTCTGCGAATGTCTGCACTCAGTGCGGTTTCCACAGACACGAGCTCTGCTTCGTTGGGGTACTCAGGGAGGGAGATGCCGACCTTCAACAGTTTAGACGCATGCACGCACACGCACGGATAGCATGATGTCAAACGGGCGTACTCACCGGCCAAAGAAATAAAAAAATGCATGTTCTACCTGCTACAGCCTAATACACTGGACTACAGCACACGATGTGTGTCTCCATGATCCATCTAATCTATCCACGTTTTCCACGTCGGAAATGTCTCTGCTCGACGCTTCTGTTCGGCCGTTCGGCACCGGCGCTCCAAGGCTCCCCAGCTGAACACGGTTCAACAGGAGCCCAACGACGCGGTGAACACAGGCTAAGTCGTCCCAACCACTGACCAACATGGGGTGGCGCAACATCAGAGACGGGTAGGACCCCGGGAAAATCATGCCACAAAGACAGACGTGGACAAAACGAACTGCACCTGCAGTGTAGGGGATACAAATGATCTACCACGAGTTTGCCTAAAATCATTTTGCAGGGCAAAAAGGTGGCATTTGGATCAGGAACTTCGAGGCAAATTCATTGCGTACGAAGATCAGTAAGGAAGACCACAAACAAAACAAGCGGCGGGTTTCTATCCGAGGAAAAGCCTGAGAGAATAGACCCAGCTAGGACCGAAACACGATTACGACGAATAAAGGCTAACCAACGAAACCGTGCCTCTGCGGATCCTCCATTCACGCCTCACTGGGTACACGCCTCCACGGTTGCCCTGAGTTGGGCTTGCCTGTGCCGCCGCCGTCGACACCGCTACCTTCACGCACGGGCATCGGCAAACCCCCTGCACCGCATCACCGGGCGTCTTAAGAGGCGGCAGCCGCCGGGGCAGCCGGCGCCGCCCGGCGCGCCTCCGGCTCCTCCTCCTCGTCTCCGGCGGCGGCGGCGGCGGCGGCGGCCGCTGGCGGCGCCACGTCCCGCAGCGCGGCCGCCGCGTCCTCCTCCTCCTCGTCGTCGCCGCGCAGGAAGAAGCCGGCCGGCGCGCCCTCGGCCTCCAGCCGGCGTCGGGAGAAGCCGCAGGCCCCCAGCACCAGCTCGTTGAACGCCTCCGGCCGGTCGGCGTACACGTGGTGTGACGCGCCCAGGATCGTCTGTTGAGGGGTGGACGGTCATCCCTGTCAGCACGCGGCAAACAGCGGCAGCGAGAGGCCCCACTCACTCTTGCCCATTTCTCTCCTGGTAAGCGGAGAAATGACCACGAGTGACAGGGCCTCTGATGGCCGCGGAGACACGACTACTGCACAGGTGGAGCGACCTATGTGCGAAATAAGTGACGACAATAAAGTTTAACTAAAAACACGTGTAAAATGTACAGATTTAGTTACAGGGAAAAGGGGGTTCAATGTTAGTGAATCAAGGGCCATGTCACTATAACCTCATTCAGATACCAATAGACTGTGAGCACCGAGTCGACCGCCGGCCCCGTGGTGTAACGGTTAGCACTCAGGACTCTGAATCCTGCGATCCGAGTTCAAATCTCGGCGGGACCTGCCCTTTTCGTAGTCTGAACGTGCTCCTATCGATGATCATTTGCGCTTTCCTAAAACGCAGGCGCTACTTCAGCTTCGCAACGCGGCCTTTACATTCATTGCATTAAATCCCTGGTTTTGTTTCAATGCCGCAGCCGATAAAAACTGCATCCAGCGATACACGGCGCGGCCGTCAACAATTGCTTTCATGAAATATGGCACTTCTTACACTGAACAAGCAATTCTTCTCTCCCCCTACTCCCACCCGATAAAACACACTTTGTGCATGCTTACAGCCCGAAACTGCGTAATTAACAGCTGGATGTCGTTTTTACTAGAAAATATCCCTGCTTTTTGCAATTTACGCCACAGAGACTACATCGTGCCACTTGAAATGCATGCTGCACACTAACGCTTTCCGTGCCCCATTACATTGCGCCCATCACTGATGAGCCATTTTATTTACCAGCTGCCAATGAGAATCAATAGCCAGTGGATCAATGAGATCAATGAGGTTAACGCCGACGCAAGGCCAATAATGATCAGCATAAGATGTACTGCTGTGATAATTCAAGACGATTTCGCTTAAAATCTTGGCGATACCTATATTCATGGATTTCCAAGAGCTATTTAAACTTTTTGGCTACTATGGTTGGTGACGTCAATAATATGCTGTTGCATTCAGTGTGTTATGTTCCTCACGCCGCCCATATCAATGTTAATGTCTGGACTCTGCCCCCCACCACGTGGCTCACTCGCTTTGCGCGCCTAGATTACCAGATTACGCGCCATGCCGGTCTAGGATTGCTATTACAGTTGTTCGCGGGATCTTCTCACATTTACTGCCATCGCACCGATTTTTTGAAAATTTCGCTGAGAAGTAAAGGTACAAGAATAACATGGCAGAAGGATGAGTTTCGAGTTTTATGCTGACGACAATCGATCTTCGATGAATGTGCCGGTAACCACCCGTTAAATTATGTTATCAAGCACAAATAATCGATTTTGTCAAACCCCGACGTTTCAAGCTGGGCTCAAGGTCACGAGTAATGTGACTTATTGAGTAACACAATCTCACGAGTTATATAAAGCTCATGGCCACTGGCGAACATCAGCAAAGTTTGAAACGTCAGGTAAGGACCATGTTCACCAATATTTACTTAATCACGCCGGTTAACCAGCATCTCCCGGAACATCGCAGGTTAGTTATTTTCGGGATCGTAGCAGCATCAAAACTCATGGTACCGATAAAAGGAGCTCGAGGGCTGCCTCGCATACATCAATATATGGCGGAAGTATAGCACAGGCGTCAGAGAATGCAGGTGCACATATGAACGCACGAAGGACACCCATACAACCGCGACACTCCTCACCAGTCCCCCGGACTCTAGCCTGACAGGGGGAGAGGGCCCGCCGGCGGCCCGAGAGCGCGCCAGCCGCAGCAGGCGCCGGCACCCACCTCCACATCCACGTAGCTGTTGGGGCGCTCGCCGCGGATCTTCTGGCCGCAGTCGTCGATCCAGGAGCGCGAGCCGTAGATGGCCGTCATCGGCACCGACGCGTCCGACGCGCCGCACGCGCCGGATCATCGGGTTGCGCGCCCAGCCCAGGTCACAGCTCAGCGTGTGGAAGGCCACCTCCCCGCTGCGGACGGCGACGGCCCGGTGAGGAGGCCGGCCCGGTGGCACGGCGGGGGGCGCGGCGGGGTGGCCACGGCGGCGGCCCGTTACGGGGAGCGGCAAAGGGAGGCTGACAGCAAGCGCTGCGGCGTGAATGGACCGGTGAGATTCAATAATTGGAAGACGGCGATGCCCAACAGCTAACGGGGCAGTATGCATACTGTAAATATCATGCTTATTATTTCGGTCGAATAATATGAGCCTGCAGATTCCCACCATTATTCGCTTGCAGCCGCATTGTCTCAAAATGAGCCAAACGCTCGTCCGGTATGCATTATACCACACATGGACTGCTACAAATGTTTGTCGGAGAGGCCGCGGAAACCGGCTGCCAAAAGAACATCAATGAGCTGATACCGGGAGACACAGGGAATACAAATTCTGTAATTCCCTACAATCCACCACTACACACATGGGAACTCGCAACATTATTTCTTCACGGACACATTGTCTGAAACGGTCGGGATAGCTACCAGCCACAGCCCGTCACATCTCCTGACGCGCCAGCACCGCACAAAACACGCCCAATTCGCACCGGGGGCCTACATCCCCGATCTCAACACGACTCTAACGGCAGCCGGTGCTGCCACCTGCTGGGCCGGTCTCCCCGCAGATGGCGCTGACGACGTCTCCACAGCAGCGCTCCCCGCCTCACCGACCGATCAACGCCAGGCACGCGGCGACCTCTCACTCCACCAGCGCCGCGGGCAGTGCCGACCCGGCGCCGCGCACACACCTGGGGGTCTGGGCGTTGCAGTGGTAGATGTAGTTGGCCATGTAGTTGGTGCCGGGCGGACTGTTGACCAGCGAGGAGAACTTCTTCATCAGGTCGGGCCGCGCCTTGGCGATCAACGTCGAACCTGACGTCGACAGGACCTTCGTCAGCAAGTGATCCACAACACACGTCCTCTGCGTGTCAGCGGACGGCAGAGTGGACGTGGACTGATGGGGCACATCTTGAAAGTTGCACCTAAAGCGTCCACTTCGTTTCGACTATCTCGCGGCCTCGACCAAGATATTTCACGCCACCGCGGCTCAAACCAATTGGCAGTCCATTTTCTTGCTGTTGCTAAATAGGCTTCTTGTGGGGCATGAGAAGGGGGGACATACAGACTGCAGTCGCATCCTATTGCACTAATTACAACGAGCAGTCCAGTTTTCTACAATCTGTACGCCTCGTCGTCCTTGCACAAGCTTCCGTGCCTCTGCACGGCACACTAGGTCAGGGTCGTGTGCCGGCTAGCTCGCGGTGGAGAGCGGCCCCCGGCTCGCTCGAGACCACAGTCCCGCCCAGGCGCCCGGGGACTCGGTGGCGGTGGCGCGGGACGTGGACCTGACAACCGGCTACACCGTAAACACGTCACAATCACTTTTGTGTGGATTCTCAGCCATGTCGGCATTGAAGTCAATGGGACAGCGAGCACCGATATGTTCCTCTCTTCGTCAATTTAGTGCCTGGTGAGCTGAGGTCAGTCAAATTTTGATAAAGAACTTCATCAATTCGAAGTCATCAAACCACGTGCCAGCGAGTGGGAACCGCTCCATCGCCACACGAGCCTCGCCACGCTACACATACTTACTTACGCACAATCAACTGCAGCAAGCCAGGCCCGACGCTGAACCCCCCCCCCCCCCCCCGTCCCCGTCCCCGTCCCCGTCCCCGTCCCCGTCCCCGTCCCCGTCCCCGTCCCCGTCCCCGTCCCCGTCCCCGTCCCTGTCCCTGTCCCTGTCCCTCTTCTGTCTCTGTGTTCCCGTCCGGAACCGCAGCTGCCCTCCGACGGTCTAAAGGCGCAGATGACTTAAAGCCGGCGGCTAAGGCTGCAGTCCCACCGGCCTGCCCCTCCGGTGGCGCGCCTCGCCCTGCCCTGACGCGCCGGGCGCGGCAAGCTCCACCGTCGACTCACCCCAGGGTCCGCCCAGGCGCAGCACAGACAGCGGGTTCATGACCTTCACGGCGGCCAGCACGGCGCGCACCCACAGCGGGATCTGCGGCCGGTGCGCCTGGTTGGAGATCCGTTCGGAGAAGCCCCACGGGTCCGCCAGCACCAGGTGCTCCAGCCTGGCGGGTCACACGCGGACACGGGTCAGCGGGGCAGGCGGACACGCGGACACGGCGGGTCAGCGGGACAGGCGCACTCGCGGACACGGCGGGTCGGCGGGACAGGCGGACACGCGGGCTCGAGCGGACTGATGGCAAAAAGTCTGGAAGACAAAGCTGCCACAGTACCATTAATTCAATCAGGCCATTGGAACTGGATAATGCAGACCACAATCCCACTAAGACATGTTTTAGACGATGCCTAACGCGAGGGCAAACACCGGACACACGCCACGAACAGCGGCATACCATTCTCCCGTCACTTCCAGGGGCAAAGACAGGCCCTTCCGCACAGGAAAGCAGGACAACGACCGACACCAGTTACTTCCTTTACGTGCTGCGCGGCGTCCGCGGTCCCGCAAAAGTGACATCGTTGCCTGGCGGCCGACCACTGAGCGAGTCCCGAGCAGCCGCTGTGACGTCACCCGACCGAGTGCCGGCCACTCACCGCTCAGGGTGACGCAGCGCGTAGGCGCAGCTCAGGTAGCCGCCGAGCGAGTGGCCCAGCAGGATCATGCGGTCGATGTTCATCTCGCGGCGCCACGCCTCGATCGCCTGGGGGCGCGGGGCACCAGCGGTCCGTCACACATGGTGGGCCGGCCTCACGCGCAGCGCGCGCGTCACGTGGCGTGGGGCGTGAGCCGTGTGCCAGACGGGCCAGTGCATCACGGTCTGAATCATCCCGGCACGGAGCACGGCCGCTCAATTAGCCTGCAGCGAACGTCTGTGTCATTCCGCGGGACGGGCCGTGCCCTCGTTAGCGGGACCGCTGGGCACTAGTGTCGCTTCCTTACAACCGTGCCGAGCCGCGGCGTCCCACGAACTGGGAAAAACATCATGAGCAGCCAAGCACGGTTTCAAGCCGCTTCATTTTCTACGATGTCCCTCGCATCTTCGGGGCCCCGCTGAACTGCAAAACGCTACTGCTCCCTCGCTGCATAGCTCTCTCGCTTTGTTAGCGTCGCCTCTCGCCCGTCCGCCCGCCGTCTGCACGCGACCGGCAGGGGGCAATGCCCCGTCCGTTAACGAGTCCAGCTGAAGCGGGCTGGCCGCGGCACGAGCCCAGCCCCGCCAGCCCTAGCGGACGGCCCTCCGCGGCAGAGTGGCCGGCCACCGCCGAGACGCCGACACCGAGCCGGTCCTCACCTTGACAAACTGCAGCTCAACCTCGTCCGCCTCCTTGCTGAACGTGGGCCTGGAGGAGCGGCCGAACCCTGCCGGGAGATAGGCGGTCCGTCAGCGCACCCTGCTGACGGTGGTGACCGGCGAGGGGCGGCGCCGGCAGCGGCCGAGGACCGGAGCTTCAGCAGGGGACCGGAGCTCCAGCAGGGGACCGGAGCTCCAGCAGGGGACCGGAGCTCCAGCAGGGGACCGGAGCTCCAGCAGGGGACCGGAGCTCCAGCAGGCGACCAGAGCTCCAGCAGGGGACCGGAGCTCCAGCAGGGGACCGGAGCTCCAGCAGGGGACCGGAGCTCCAGCAGGCGACCAGAGCTCCAGCAGGCGACCAGAGCTCCAGCAGGCGACCAGAGCTTCAGCAGGCGACCAGAGCTCCAGCAGCCGACCGGAGCTCCAGCAGGGGACCAGAGCTCCAGCGGGGGACCGGAGCTCCAGCAGGGGACCAGAGCTCCAGCAGGGGCCGGAGCTCCAGCAGGGGACAAGCTCCAGCAGGGGACCAGAGCTCCAGAAGGGGACAAGACTGGAGCTCCAGCAGGGGACCGGAGCTCCAGAAGGGGACCGGAGCTCCAGAAGGGGACCAGAGCTCCAGCAGGAGACCGGACCTCCAGCAGGGAACCAGGACGGAGAGGGACGCCACGCAGCGAAGATGACCAGCTCAGGGTGGCAGCCGTGCGGATGGCGTGTCCGCGAGGTGCGGTGCATCATATTGCCGGAAACAAATATGGGTGGAGGAGCCAGCAGAGACGATGGGTTAGGCTGGTGCTGAGCAAAGGGAAGTCATTTCTGCAGATACGGACACTACATTAATTGGCCAATACGTTATAAAGCACATTTTGAAGCGGGAATGTTGGTGAAACTAGCCACTTGTTTCAAGTCCAGAGACTTAATGCTTTTGAAAATCAAGCTGTTCTTGTTCCGGCCCGGGGAGCGTCAACAGACAGCGGCGCCATTCCTTAGTCGTCCACAGGAGTAGGACAAAAGGTCCGGCCCCGGGGAGCGTCAACAGACAGCGGCGTCGTTCCTTAGTCGTACACAGGAGTAGGACAAAAGGGATAGCCATGTGTGCATGCGTGTACTTTACGTAACGACTGCACGATGATTTGGAGTTCAGAGCCAGTTTGGAGACTTTCGAGCATTCCGCAGCATTTTCAAATGAGACGTTTGTAATATCCAGCGTGCCACAAAATAGCTTGTCCACTAGCAAAATCCCACGGCACATTAAAAGATTGATCCCCAGCCAACGTGACCAATTTTGTGTATCGATCCCTCCAAGGTGGCAGCCCCGTTGAAGTAGGACCAAATCGATCGCATGGCATGAGCAAAATGAGCCGAAAAGATATAATCCTGGGCATATCGCCCTACGGAAGAACATGTCTGCTGAATCGCGTTGCATTTGTTGTAGGGTTGCTCCTGACGTCACGCAAACGTTCAATGAATCAACTCTCTATCCTGCGGCGCGTGAACTCCGAGCCCGCGGACAAGGCCGTCACGGTGATAAGCGGCCCGGCCTCCTGTCAAACCGAACGCTGTCCCCCACCCCCTCCCCCTCACACACACACCCACGCCGCTCCCTCCTCTTCGCAAGTCCGTGCCCGAGCGTGCCGCTGTGTGCGTGGTAAGGCATGCCGTGCGCCCTTGTCCTTTGGACCGGGCGGCGGCGCGGCGACGGCGCCGCCGGCCCCGCCGCCGTCCGGTCAAAGGTCAAGGATCAGCTGCGCCGCGCCGGTGCGGCCGCCCCGTGACGGCCGATAAGACGGCTCGGAGCGCGCCGTCACGGGACTCCGTGACGACCGGCCAGGTTCTCAGCCGCTCACGTGGTCTCTCATCGGGAACACGTGGCGCAGGCCTGACGAGACCGCGTGAGATCCGCGCTGTGCGTGGGCTGGGCGCCGCTCTCGCAGCATGACTCACGCTGTCCCCGATACAGGTTGGAGTGCCCAGTCAGCATGAATCGACACGGTCTGTCCCAGACCGAGCATACCGCCAGGGAAGGAAGCTGTAGCAGCGAAAACGCTCGGATGATGCGTTGCGGCCCGGTATTAAATCATACATTTCTTCGTTGCAGGTTACTGTGCTGCCATTAACTTCAAAGTAGACATGAAACCTAATAAGCATTAACAACTACGTCACAACAGCCTAGGGGCTTGAATTATTTCGTGCATGCGATCCAGTGAACAAAACGTGCGCGAAGGCGCGCAAAAACACTGAAAACTCAAGCTGAAAGTGGACATCTGCCACCCAAAATTAAAACGAATACCTTGTCTGCAACAAGATTCAAAACCTCACAGTTATCAAGAACGCCGGCCGTCCAATGACGCCTCAGTGGTCGCGCCAGTTTGTATAAATGTAATGTTTGGGCCGTAGTGACGCCACCAACGGTGACCCCATTTACGTAATGTCAACGCGCCGGCGAGCCCTGGCGCAGCCTTTCGACACATGCCTAGTCCTCTCCACGCTTTTGCAACACCAATAGGACAGGATTTCCCCAACAACGCATGTCCTGCCCCACGTCCTTGTAAGACCGATAGGACAGGACGTTTACCCATACACAGATACGTAATTCCGCTCGCACTCATGCACAACGGATAAGGACAGGATTCTCTAGGATAAGGACAGGATTCTCACCCTTCGACACATGCGTATTCCTCTCCACACCCCCGCAAAACACATAGGAAAGGATATCCGTCCATCCACAGATACGCAGCCTTCCCCCGCTCTTGCGAAACAGATAAGGATTACATTCTTGCCCGTCGCGATAAGACTTCTCGGAGATGCCTTTCATCACCGAGCCGCCGCGGCGCGCATGGCAACACGTCCCCGCACGCTGCCGGTTGCAGAACACCACGACACGCACAAACACATGCGCAGTCACACGCAGACACACATAGTCACACATCAGCTCGCCCGATGACACGGCGATCGCCCGGCTCGCGCCGCTGGAGAGCGGGCTGCCAGCGAGCTCGGATGAAAGCCCACGCGCCGCACCCGAGGCCTGCGAGCAATCTCACCACGGAACACCATTCGTCGCACCCGAGGCCTGCGAGCAATCTCACCACGGACCATCACTCTCCACACCCGAGGCCTGCGAGCAATCTCACCACGGACCATCACTCTCCATCGCGCCTCCGAACCGGCGATCCCCAGAGCGCCGCGTGTGCGCCCCGGCCGCGTACGGCGTCTCACCCAGGCTGTCGAAGGCGTAGACGGGCCGGTCGGCGGCGAGCGCGTCGTAGTTGAGGCACCAGAGGCCGACGCCCGAAGCGAAGCCGTGCACCATCACCAGCGGCGTCTCCGGCGACGCCTCGTTGAAGGCCACTGTCCACAGCTTGTTGGAGTGGCGCCCCACCACCGGGCCGATGTCCACGTAGAAGGCGCGGTGCGGCGTGCTCACGACTGTCGGAGGCCGCACGCGGTTGGACGGGGAGGGGTGTACGGGGAGGGGGCGGGAGAGAGTCGCAATGAGAAACGATGCCGTCCCGCGAGGAAGCGACGCCGCCCTACGTGGGGAATGGCGAAATGCATTGTGAAAATGACATGCGAGATTTGAAATCAAATGCAAATTGGTGCATCTGCGCGTTTGGATCCTGCAGCTACTTAAAACACCGTGTGCGGAAACACAACATCTATGGAATCATGACCAGTGAAAACATTCCCCAGTGCTCATTCAGATACTGTGTTAGACCTTGTGCCGGTGCATCAGCAAGAACCCTATCCGTTTGTACGCTTCTAAACAGCTGTCTACGGTAACGCGCAATCAGGGGGCATAATCACGGCGAGTAATGCAAACACGGGCTTCTCATCAACTCGCAACCTAGCGCACACAAAAACAACAGAGCACCCGACAGGGGCTGGTCGTGTCATCAGGCGCACAGCAGGCGTAAGAAGTGCGACTGCCGGTCCCGCTGGCGACAGCAGGCCGTTTAGTCCGGCTGATTTGGTAGCTGCTCGGGCAGCGCCGGCCGGCAGCAAGCGCGAGGCGTCGGCAGCACGCCGCCGCCGCCGCCGCCGCCAAACGGCACAACAAGCGCAACAGGCTTACAAACGGCCCGACTGTTCGGCCGTGAGCTGCTAGTGCGGCCTCCACTTGTGTAAATCCAAGGCGTCGAGCGCAGCAAACTGACGGACGGCGGCGACGCCGGCAGGAGGGCAGCTGTACTCAGGGGGGCGGCGATTTGTATAAATGGTAGTCGGCCGAGCCGAAGGTTCGACAACCCAACCGCTCACCGAAGTGCGTACTTCTCGACACATCTAGAGCACATCATGTTGACAAACGGAAGTCTTCATTATCTACTTTCATCAGTTGCCGATTTGCCGAAGTCCTTGATTTCAGCATTGAGATTCCCATGGCCGTCACACGCTGCCCAAAAATGGGTACATAGATGTGAAATTTAACTTTTCTTCAGTTTTATAACTCCCCAGTAAAACAAAACCACGAGCCCAAGCCAAGACTGATGGTCCAGATCGACATGGCAGGGAGAGGGCTCCCACAAAACAATGCACACAAGAAGCCCCGATTGTCTTGACCCTTGCTATAGTATTGTGGACGAGGTGCGACAGAAACAATGCCGTCCGGGATAGGAGCCGCAACCGGATATCACAAATACCGATTTCACGTCAAAATAGTAATCGCTGGCTTGCTCGCCGGGCGCGGCCGACTCAGGTTATCAGCGTTCACACCCTGGCGGAACCGGTGGCCGGTGAAGACGGCCAGCGGCGGAAGCGGCGCCCCCACTTCTGCGCCCCCCCCCCCCCCCCTTGGCACCCTTTAGTCACGGGCCTGACCTCTCATGCGTAACAGCCCACGGCCAAAAACTCACATTGCAAGATGTTCCTCTCTGCCTCCCGCAGGTGCTTGAAGGAGGTGGGGTTCCAGCGGATGACTCCAGGCAGCCAGCTGGAAGCGGGGCCGACACGTTAGCGGTGACAGAGCTGGCTGAAGCCGAACACCTCCTGTCTTCTCCCACGAGATACGCGGTACACGGACAGCTCAGGTGAGCTTGCTCCCACAGCGCGTCGCCTGTGCAGTTGACGGTGCAGTTGACGTGCGTTCGCGAGCAATGGCTGCGGCACGCCAACGTAGCGTTGGTTGCGCCGCCGCCACCAAGCAGCTGCGGATCGCTGTTGCTACGACGGCCCAAGACCAAGCCTGCTTTCCCTGGTGCGTGGGAGACAGCACGGCGGCATACTGGCACGGCACGGCGGCATACTGGAACAGCACGGCGGCATACTGGCACAGCACGGCGGCATACTGGCACAGCACGGCGGCATACTGGCACGGCACTGCGATATGCTAGCAAAGCACAACAGCATGCTGGCACGGCACAGCAGCATCCTGACACACAGGACATGCGGCACTCCACACCACGTCCGTTCCCTCCATCCGCGACCGCTGACCCTTCCCCGAAAGTCAACGCCCACATGCAGTTCCGACGTTTCCGCATGCAGTCTGGAGCCGTCACCCCCGAGCTAATCGGGCACAGCCGCCGGCGCGCCGGGCCGACATCAGATGAGCACGCGGCGGCCAGGCGGGTGTCCAAGAACGGGCAGTCCCAGGCATCGCTGAGAGAACCCAGCACGGTGGAAACGATGGGGTTTTCCCAGACGGGTGTCCCGACCGGCTCACAACGTCACGTGCTGCCAGGGGATCAGGCGCTCAGGGACGCATTCGGAGCGTCGGAGGCGGCCGCGAGCGAAAGACGGAAGGTTGCGATTCAAGATTTGTTGCCCAACTTGATCAGTTTGCCAGTTTACAGCCCGTCTGATGCCGAGCGTCTTGCCTGATCAAGGCCCATATTCGGGGTGTTCAGATGAAGGCGCGCAAAAACACACTGATTCTGCGTTCGATATTATGCGTACGTCGCACGACACAACGACCCAGTCACCGAACGTTCTGCTGTTGTGCTCTGGTCAGAGCCCTAGGTCAGAGAACACCTCTCATTATAATGGGAAAGCCGGACTATCATGGTGCGATGCATCGAGTAGGATTCAGGGAGTGCGGTTTAGACGGGAGCTTACAGGGACCACGCCCCCCTACCCCCTTGTCTCTTGTCGCATCTCTGGTTTACAAGACACCCTCTGGTTCCATCTATTTTTTTTCGGGAAATTACAGCCACATCACTGTTCCGTCCCTTTACGCTCTCCTCAATCTGCAGTACGTCCTGCACGTGCGCCGACGCCGCACGTCACCCGTGTCCGCGTCCCACCGCACCTCGCTCTCCAAACCCATCCGTCACTCCATTTCACTCCGTACATGGTGACACAGGACGGGAGACCAGCCCCACCACACACCAGCCGCGACCGTCACGTGACCGGGGCTGACCCGAGCTGACCTGAGCATGACCGCTGCGGTGGTCAGAGCATCAGGCGCTGACGCCCACGGCGCCAGCGCCTGATGCTCTGACCGGCCGCTCCCAGAGCCCTGGCCGGCGCCCCGACCGCGCCAGCCGGCCGCCGTCGGGCGCCCTCACCTGCCGTGCTCCTCCTCAATCTTCCGCTCGGCCATCTCCATGATGTCGTGTTCGGTCAGCGCCTCGTCGGTCCCGCGGCGGTTGTGCGCCAGCTTCTCGCCCGGCTGCTCGGGCGGCGGCTGCTCGACCTCCCTGGGCACGTCCACAGCGGCCATCAGCACTCGACGGAGCAGCCCACGAAGTCGGACAGCACGCGCGCGCTCGGGCGGCCGTCGCGCGTGGCCGTCCCCACTCGAACAGACGCGCACACTGCCGCCGCGGAGCCGATAGCGGGCGGGAGCGCGGCCGCCGGCCCGGCACCGCCCGGCCACCGCTCATTGGTCGAGACGTCCGACACGACCGGGCCGGGCCGGCCGTGGTTGGGACGTTCCCGAGGAGTTTGACGTTTGGTTGAGCGTTCTGATGGGTCTCACACCCGGATCAGGAACGAAAATGAAATGAAAATGGGTGGCCAGTCGGATACGATGCATCGAGTGGGGGAGTGTCAATGCATACCCTCTGAAATATCAAAAACGAAGAGAGTTAGAGACACCAAAGTCGCGAGGTAGGTAGGCCTCTATGTGAACTCATTAAGTCAAACTTAAAGGTTTCTACGTCGGGATATTCGGGTCAAGTAAGGTCACACAAGTTAAAACTCGAGCTCGGTGCCAGAGTAGCCAAGCCCTCCTCACACGATCATCTCTAATATGGGTACTTTTCCTAAGCAAGCGAAAGGTCAGCCAGGGCCGTATCAGTTTAATGGCTTTACCTGACTTTCAATTCAAAATGACAAAACTTAGATATTATTTTCATAATTGAAGTCAAAATCAGCGTAAAGAACTTCTCCAGGCAGCATGCTCCTCAATGCAAAAGGGTGATTGAGGCTATTCTGGGCCTGTACATACAGAACAAGCAATGTTCTAATGACAGTAAGCTACTAAGTGGTGACGAGAGAGATAAACTACAGCGCAGATGCGTCATGAAGACGTCGCAGTATTGCATATCTTACGGTACAGTTTCCCTGCATGCATAGCCAACGCCATTTTGTACATGGCGAGACGGCTGTTCCTGTAGGTGATGAGCGGCATGCTCGATGTGGTTGAATAATTCACAGCGTGGCTTATCAACGCAATTAAGACCCGGTCACACCGCGCTTAATGTTAAAACTGCACTATCCTCAACGGAAAAACGAACATAAAAATTCGGGACTGGAAAACAACGAGGCTCAAATCTGATTAGTTTTTTTTTATTTTGAGGCAGGTTTGTTTTGCCCGGCTATGTCAAGTTCCAAAACTAGGTGTTATTCGTATTCCTGACGAACGGAAGTTGTCAAGTGCATTTGCAAGGAACATTATACACATTGATAAGACAGTACTTTTAGCATTATTTCCCATAAGACAACCAGGAGAAGCGAGATATAGATTTATTGATGTTTCGGCTACATGCCTTTATCGAAACGGATCTACGCAGTAAATTCAAAATTCATAACTGCCTGTGGATTTCACTCGATTTTTTAAGTTTTTTTTACAGTATGTCAAAGTGTTTGCAAGTCACCAACATTCAGTGGACTTAACAAGGAGCAATTGCCCGCCATTCCTACAATATAGTGCGTATCCAACTAAGGATTAAAATGTATGAAAAATGCGTGTGCATGCGAACGAGTCCAAGTGAACAGGCATCATCATCATTCACATATGGAAGCAATTTCAAGTGAACGGCATCGCGCATCGCGCATCACTTATACACGCAAACGATTTCAACCACACAGGCATCGCGCAACACGTATCAGGCATTACTGATACATATACACGACTTAAAGCGAGCACGCATCACGCATTAAGGCACTAATCACATTCGTATGATCGGCCATGATCGGCCCCGTCGTTTAGGTCTGGTCACCGACTTCTTATAAGAATCGCTTATTTTCCCCTTTGGGTGGTCCTGCGCTCTGTACATGACTGTGAGCTCTTAAAGGGCAAGGGGTTCATACCTCCCTGAATTTCAGCCTGAGCGTGCTTTGTCAAAAAAAGGTCGCCGAAAGGGCCATTCCCCGTTTTGTTGTTAGCGCCTCGCAGGTGTGCATTAAATCTCGAAGGAAAATGGCGCATGAATGCTTTGATAAAGACTACGTCCCTCTCATTTTTTCACACAGTTTACAATTGATTTCGTAAAGCACGTTTTTTGCATTCAAACCCCTTGAAACCCCAACTTGCACAAATGGAGGAATGTGATTACAAACGTGGCCATAAATGGCTATTCTACGAGGAACAAGGCTGACAGTACTGTCTCATCTGAAACGGTCTTGTCTTGCCCTATCATACCTTGCCTTATCTTGTCTCTCATGCGTGACAGTACTGGCTCTGGCCTCGTCGCTGCTTGGAAAATGGGCCCCTAAGGCTCAAACGAACAGGGAGCCGGCTGTTTGGTGTGTGTGGTCTTTCGCCGAAACAGGGGCCTACCTTGTCCGATGGGCCTCCTATCGGCGTTACAGTCCCCGTGACTGACATGTGAGGCCACGACCCCACGGGCGGGGGCCCTTAATGTGACCTACAGCCAGCTTCCGTGCTCTTCGGGCCCTCACCCTAAGAATGGCGACATTGATGTCTCTGTAAGTCACTGGGGGCTCCTCATTGTTTCAGGGAAACCGAACGATACAAAACACGGTCTCCGCCCTGTTCTTGCTCGGGAAATGGGCTCCAAGAGCTCCAATCGACACGTAACCAACTGTTCGGCGTTGGTGGCCTCTGACAAAAATAGAAGCACGCATTGTCCCAGGGGTCTCACCCAGTGTAAGAAGTCCTCTTACCGACATTTGAGGGCACGGCTCTACGGGCGGGGGGCCTTAATGTGGCCTACAGCCAGCCCTTTGGGCTCTTCGGACCCCTCAGCCTTCCAATCGGGCCCTTGATGGTCGGTCCCCGAGGGCCCTTCGGGCCCCTCAAACAATGAACCTGGCTGACTCGGGGCCCCGCGCCAATACAGGACCCCTGTTGGGCGCTCCGGTCCCTGGCTGATGCAGGGGCCTCTCATTGACTCAGTGGTCCCGATCAACATAAATCGCGGGTCGCATGCATGTCCCTGCTTGAGAAATGGACCTTCAGGCCCAGACCGACACCTAGCCGACTGTTCGGTACTGGTGGTACCTGACCGACATAAAGGTCATCATCGACTTAGAGGGTCCCCAATCGGCGCAAAGGGCCCTCTGACTGTCATTTGATGGCTCGGCCCGCAGAGCCGGGACCTCTGATACGACGTCCAGCCAGCCCTCCGGGGCCTTCGGGCCCTCCAATCGGACCTTTAATCGTGGTCCCAAGGGGACCTGGCGGCCCCTTGGGACCTAGAGTGTCCTTTGGGAAAACCTGTGGTGCCATCCCTATATCATAGGTGTTTGACTTGGTTGTGAAGCTTATAGTGACTGGAACGGTTTGAACGGCACCACAGTTCTGGATTTAAACCCATGATGACTCGGTTCGTTTGCCATCGATGCCGATTTGGAGAGCTCCGTTCGGCGGCTCTTTCTTATGGAGTCAGCTGCACACAGCGCGATGCAAGCGTGATCTAATTCTCACGCAACAGCTGACGGGCGTTCTCAGCTGCCAGCCATCCCTGGGCACGCGTGCGTCAGGGCTTCCGTCCGCATTTTTGGAGGTACGTGCCCCGTGTGAACCACAATCCACCGACCAGGTCAGACGCACCGGATCAATTGAGAGAAAAATACAAAAAGCGTCATACTCTCTTCAAGGCCAGGAACACCTCTTATCCTTTTGGCCTTTACTTCAGACTGATACTTACATCACGCTCGCGGGACGAGGGAAGAACCACTTCGAGATGAACGGCAGAATCCGATCCAGCATGAGTTTTGTTCTGCGGGAATACCAAACGAACCACAGGTAGTTAGGTACGTAGGCATCGTTTTAGCGCTGAAAGCTCCAGACACCCAATTCAAGGGAATGTTTCACATTTGAAGATATTGAAGCATCAGGTGTAATAAAACAAGCTCACTTATAACAATGTACATACTTTTTAAGTGGAAATGACTGCTCGAGGCAGCACAATTCTCTGTTCAGTACATATGCTTCTCAATGCGTGATGGTTTGATTACATCACCGTTCCTTGCACAACAATGATTCAGAACCAATTGACGGCCGTTATATCCGCAAATCGCGACTCACGAACGCCAAATATGGACGCCTTGACAATCACATTTTTCCTGGCCTTGATCACCGCATGGCTTATGGAATGACACAACTTGAATGATGTTATGACGTCCTAAATGCAGAGGTGACTTTGAAATAGTCTTTCCGATACACCTTTCCCCATTTTCGCGGACGTGTAGATCAGAACTGAAGGGGTATAAGTCTCACGGATACGGATAAGACGGATAGGGTTGTGAACAGCACCGAAATGTCTTCGAGATGGCTAGTTCATTTCAAACCCACGTATAAATGTGGAACACAACCTTTCAGCGTTTTTTTTGGGGGGAGGGGTGGTTGAAGTTTCTGGACACTATGCCCATCTTGGAACGCTTTGTCGCCTAATATTTACGGAATTGTCTCAGAGGCCAACGTATACACCCCGCAATATGAGTTGGCGTATGAGTTGGCGTATTTCGAGACCCACAAAACGCCGGTCCGTCCGGGGGCCACTGTCCCCCCCCCCCCCCCAAGGCCTTAGATCACGCGAGGCCTTGAAAGCCGTGTCTGGATCCTTCGCCGTCTGAACAGGTCTACTTGGGAAAACCAAGTCATCAAAGTCAATCTCCGTCATTGAATGGTGTTCCTGGTTACCTTTCCATCACCTCATGATGCGCCGGCATTCGTCCGCGGCCGCTGCTCGCTATGGGAATGCTAGGCTTGCAATGTCTCTGCCGTACGGGCGTTAACTTGCACCCTTGGTGAGCGACTGCCCCCCCCCCCCCCCCCACCCCCCACCCCCACAAAGGCGAGTAACGCATCCTAACGCTTAAGAGCCTAGATGAGTAGATGAGTACATAGCCCATGAGTGCACGGCAAGTCAAAATGATTGTAATTCCAACAGAGGGTCCCGGAGATTGTTTCCCACCTATAGGGGACAAAGCAAATGAAAGCACAGAGTGAAAGTGAAAATGCAAGTTCCCATCTGAAGGGGACAAAAGAATGAAAACTAAGATGCCATGTTGAGCTGAATGCAGCTGACTGAGCTGGTCACGCTTAAAGAGCTCAGCGTTCGTACCGTGTTTATCTGATAATTTTATGTTTTTGCTGCATACTGCACCTTTTGTATTGTGATGGCAAGATTCACATGTCCTCTTAAAGGGAGCATCCACCTTTTTGTACTTTCCACTTGTTACATCGGACGAGTACGATTTTATCGGTAGTGCCAGTTTTCTCGAAATCTTTATGAATAGCCCAGAATTCCTATTTCAAATAGCTGACCCTGCGGGAAAAATCTTACTTGATTCGCTGCCCACCACTATGAAAGTAATAAATTTCATTTGTCTTTTTCTCTAACGAGTGAGCTTTGTAATGTTTGCGACACAATAATGTGTCATTGTATTTGCGCAATAATGCTAGGAAGCATCAGGCACTGTTTAGACAAAAAGA